GAAACCATGAGCAGAACATCCAAGAAATATGGGATAACATCAAGAGACCAAATTTAAGAGTCATTGGGATACAGGAAGGGACAGAGTTTCAAACCAAAGGATTGAGCAATCTATTCAATGAAATAATACGAGAAAACTTCCCAGACTTGAAGAATGAGACAGAACCCCAAATCCTAGAAGCCTACAGGACGCCGAATGTGCAAAATCATAAGAGACCCACACCTAGACACATTATAATGAAGATGCCCAACATACAGAATAAGGAGAGAATTTTAAAAGCTACAAGAGAAAGGAAGCAGATCACATTTAGGGGTAAGCCAATCAGGATAACAGCTGATCTTTCAACACAGACTCTGAAAGCTAGAAGATCCTGGAATAACATATTTCAAACACTGAAAGAAAATGGGTTCCAACCAAGAATTGTGTTTCCAGCGAAATTAAGCTTCAGGATGGAAGATGAAATTAAAACCTTCCATGATAAACAAAAGTTAAAAGAATTTGCAGCTAGAAAACCATCTCTTCAAAACATCCTTGGCAAAACATTACAGGAAGAGGAAATGGAAAATAACAATGAAAACCAACAGTGGGAGGTAGGACACTAAAGGGGGGAAAATAATCAAAGAGGAAAACAAACCATGTTTAGTAACATAAATAAACAAATATGGCTGGAACAACAACCCATATCTCAATAATAACCCTAAATGTTAATGGCTTAAACTCACCAATCAAGAGACACAGGCTAGTAGAATGGGTCACAAAACAAGACCCAACAATATGCTGCCTACAGGAGACGCATTTGATAGGAAAAGACATACATAGGCTGAAGGTGAAAGGTTGGGAAAAATCATATCACTCATATGGACTTCGGAAACAAGCAGGAGTATCCATACTCATATCAAATAAAATAGATTTCAAGCCAAAGTTAATCAAAAGGGATAAAGAGGGATACTACATACTGCTCAAGGGAACCATACACCAACAAGACATAACAATCATAAATATATATGCCCCAAACAATGGTGCAGCTATGTTCATCAAACAAACTCTACTCAAGTTCAAGAGTCTAATAGACCACCATACAATAATCATGGGAGACTTCAACACACCTCTATCACCACTGGACAGATCTTCCAAACAAAAGTTGAATAAGGAAACTATAGAACTCAATAACACAATTAATAACCTAGACTTAATTGACATATATAGAGTATACCACCCAACATCAAGCAGTTACACTTTTTTCTCAGCAGCACATGGATCCTTCTCAAAAATAGATCATATATTATGTCACAGGGAAACTCTTAGACAATACAAAGGAGTAGAGATAATACCATGCATCCTATCTGATCATAATGGAATGGAACTGAAAATCAACGATAAAAGAAGGAAGGGAAAAGAATACATCACTTGGAGAATGAACAATAGGTTACTGAATGATCAATGGGTTATAGAAGACATCAAGGAGGAAATTAAAAAATTCTTAGAGATTAATGAAAACACTGACACAACATATCGGAATCTATGGGACACATTGAAAGCAGTTCTAAGAGGAAAATTCATTGCTTGGAGTTCATTCCTTAAAAAAAGAAAAAACCAAGAAATAAATGATCTCATACTTCATCTCAAAATCCTAGAAAAAGAAGAGCAAAGCAACAGCAAAAGAAGTAGAAGGCAAGAAATAATTAAAATCAGAGCTGAAATTAATGAAATCGAAACAAAAGAAACAATTGAAAAAATTGACAAAACTAAAAGTTGGTTCTTTGAAAAAATAAACAAAATCGACAGACCCTTAGCCATGCTAGTGAAGAGAAGAAGAGAGAGAACTCAAATTACTAACATACGGGATGAAAGAGGCAATATCACAACAGACACTTCAGAAATACAGAAGATAATCAAAAACTATTTTGAATCCTTATACTCCAATAAATTAGAAGATAGTGAAGGCATAGATAAATTTCTTAAGTCATATGATCTGCCCAGATTGAGTCAGGAGGATATAGACAACCTAAACAGACCAATATCAATTGAGGAAATAGAAGAAACCATCAAAAGACTACCAACTAAGAAAAGCCCAGGACCAGATGGGTATACAGCAGAGTTTTACAAAACCTTTAAAGAAGAACTAATACCAATACTTTTCAAGCTACTTCGGGAAATAGAAAAAGAGGGAGAACTTCCAAATTCATTCTACGAGGCCAACATCACCCTGATACCTAAACCAGACAAAGACACTTCAAAGAAAGAAAACTACAGACCAATATCTCTAATGAACCTAGATGCAAAAATCCTCAATAAAATTCTGGCCACTCGGATACAAAAACTTATCAAAAAAATTGTGCACCATGATCAAGTAGGATTCATCCCAGGGATGCAAGGCTGGTTCAATATACGGAAATCAATAAATGTTATTCACCACATCAATAGACTTAAAAATAAGAATCATATGATCATCTCGATAGATGCGGAAAAAGCATTTGACAAAGTACAGCATCCCTTTATGTTCAAAACTCTAGAAAAACTAGGGATAACAGGAACATACCTCAATATTGTAAAAGCAATCTATGCTAAGCCTCAGGCTAGCATCATTCTGAATGGAGAAAAATTGAAGGCATTCCCTCTAAAATCTGGAACAAGACAGGGATGCCCTCTCTCTCCACTTCTGTTCAACATAGTTCTCGAAACACTGGCCAGAGCAATTAGACAGACAAAAGAAATTAAAGGCATCAAAATAGGAAAAGAAGAACTTAAATTATCACTATTTGCAGATGACATGATTCTATACCTAGCAGACCCAAAAGGGTCTACAAAGAAACTATTAGAGCTAATAAATGAATTCAGCAAAGTGGCAGGATATAAAATCAACACGCATAAATCAAAGGCATTCCTGTATATCAGTGACAAATCCTCTGAAATGGAAATGAGGACAACCACTCCATTCACAATATCTTCCAAAAAAATAAAATACTTGGGAATCAACCTAACAAAAGAGGTGAAAGACTTATACAATGAAAACTACAGAACCCTAAAGAGAGAAATAGAAGAAGATCTTAGAAGATGGAAAAATATACCCTGTTCATGGATAGGCAGAACTAACATCATCAAAATGGCGATATTACCAAAAGTTCTCTATAGGTTTAATGCAATGCCAATCAAAATCCCAACGGCATTTCTTGTAGAAATAGAGAAAGCAATCATGAAATTCATATGGAAAAACAAAAAACCCAGAATAGCAAAAACAATGCTAAGCAGGAAGGGTGAATCAGGCGGTATAGCGATACCAGACTTCAAACTATACTACAGAGCAATAGTAACAAAAACAGCATGGTACTGGTACCAAAACAGGCGGGTGGACCAATGGTACAGAATAGAGGACACAGAAACCAATCCACAAAACTACAACTACCTTATATTTGATAAAGGGGCTAAAAGCATGCAATGGAGGAAGGATAGCATCTTCAACAAATGGTGCTGGGAAAACTGGAAATCCATATGCAACAAAATGAAACTGAATCCCTTTCTCTCGCCATGCACAAAAGTTAATTCAAAATGGATCAAGGAGCTTGATATCAAATCAGAGACACGCCGTCTGATAGAAGAAAAAGTTGGCTACGATCTACAGTCGGTGGGGTCGGGCTCCAAATTCCTCAATAGGACACCCATAGCACAAAAGTTAATAACTAGAATCAACAAATGGGACTTACTCAAACTAAAAAGTTTTTTCTCAGCAAAAGATACAATAAGAGAGGTAAATAGAGAGCCTACATCCTGGGAACAAATCTTTACTCCTCACACTTCAGATAGAGCCCTAATATCCAGAGTATACAAAGAACTCAAAAAATTAGACAATAAGAGAACAAACAACCCAATCAACAAATGGGCCAAGGACCTGAACAGACACTTCTCAGAGGAGGACATACAGTCAATCAACAAGTACATGAAAAAATGCTCACCATCTCTAGCAGTCAGAGAAATGCAAATCAAAACCACCCTAAGATACCATCTCACTCCAGTTAGATTGGCAGCCATTATGAAGTCAAACAACAACAAGTGCTGGCGAGGATGTGGGGAAAAGGGTACACTTGTACATTGCTGGTGGGACTGCAAATTGGTGCAGCCAATTTGGAAAGCAGTATGGAGATTTCTTGGAAAGCTGGGAATGGAGCCACCATTTGACCCAGCTATTCCCCTTCTCGGTCTATTCCCTAAAGACCTAAAAAGAGCATGCTACAGGGACACTGCTACATCGATGTTCATAGCAGCACAATTCACAATAGCTAGACTGTGGAACCAACCTAGATGCCCTTCAATGGATGAATGGATAAAAAAAATGTGGCATTTATACACAATGGAGTATTACTCTGCATTAAAAAATGACAAAATCATAGAATTTACAGGGAAATGGATGGCATTAGAGCAGATTATGCTAAGTGAAGCTAGCCAATCCCTAAAAAACAAATGCCAAATGTCTTCTTTGATATAAGGAGAGCAACTGAGAACAGAGTAGGGTCGAAGAGCAGGAGAAGAAGATTAACATTAAACAGGGATGAGAGGTGGGAGGGAAAGGGAGAGAGAAGGGAAAATGCATGGAAATGGAAGGAGACCCTCAGAGTTATACAAAAGTACATACAAGAGGAAGTGAGGGGAAGGGGAAAAATAATATAAGGGGGACAAACGAATGTCAGTAGAGGGAGCAGAGAGAGAAGAGGGGAGGGAGGGGAGGGGAGGGGAGGGGAGGGGAGGGGGATAGTAGAGGATAGGAAAGGCAGCAGAACACAACAGACACTAGTATGGCAATATGTAAATCAATGGATGTGTAACTGATGTGATTCTGCAATCTGTATATGGGGTAAAAATGGGAGCTCATAACCCACTTGAATCAAATTGTGAAATATGATATATCAAGAACTATGTAATGTTTTGAACAGCCAACAATAAAAAAAAAAAAAAAAAAAAAAAAAAAAAAAAAAAAAAAAAGTTCAGGGTAGATATAAAACAAGAAGTATATTTGTAAAATTATTTATTTACATTTTAAGCTCACATTAAAATCTTTCTAGGATAGAATGGCTAAGATGAAATATACAAAGCTGATATAAACACATACACTCATCTTTATTGGAAGAAAGTTCTATGGATTTTAGATGAATTCAGGTTTTATTTTACAAAACCAGTATTTTCTTAAACCATGCTGTGATAGTGTGTCTCCTCAATGAGAATAAATCAAATTTGTATCATTTAAAAAAGTTGAGAAACAAAAAGCTTTGACTTGTTGAATAGTTATCCATAAAAAATTATGCCATAAAACCAAAATTGTTTTACAGTGCTGAGATGTTTAAAGAGGTCCAAACAAGATATAATGAATATATTTTAAACATGAGTACTTTGGTTGTTAGGCTTTGACTTGGTTTGGGCATTACTTATATAATTACATTATTCAAATGAATCATTCATTACAGGTAATCCATTCAAAACATGACTTGCTTAATATTACAGTATTGCAAAGCACTTAGACTTGCCTTGATTTGGAATACCTTCAAAGATGTTGACAATAGCTGAATGTTTCCTTTTCTTCATTTAACAAAATAAAAAGAGAAATCACAAATTCATTTTCCATGTGTTAAAAAGCCTAAATCTGTCACAAAACCTTATTCATTTCATTAAAATTTTTCCCCTCAAAACAATACCTGTTCTAGGTACTGGTGCATTATTAAAATACTAGACCCGTAAGATCTCTTTCTATGCCTCAAAAGCCTATTATTTCATGATCTATTTGTGTAAAATGCACTGATGAATATATCAATAGTACACTGATACTTAAGGGATGGATTCATATTTAAAACAACTTTCAAAACCTAGATTTAGTAAGAGTCTTAGAAAAATAAATAAAACAAAATGCTGTGGTTGGTTCTACCCCTCTCCTCCACTTTTCTTCCTTCATAGATCTGAGCTTGGATTCAAACTTTTAAATAGCAGAAGAAAGGAAAATAGGATAATAAAGGCTTTACTACCCACAGTTTCCTTTTCTTATGTAATGTATTATCCCCAAGGTAAACTTGATTTTTCTTTAAAATGAAGATCTAGTCTTGTAAGACTATTTTAAATAACTGTACTTAGATAAAAATAAAGTTTAAAAACCAGTGCTTTTAATAAAAAAGCAGCTGAATGCCTATAAAATACATAACTTGTGATTATGAAGAGTGCCATTAAGAAGTCTAAAAGCAGATGGGCACAGTTGGTAACATCTGTAATGGCTTGAGAGGCAAGGAGGATCACACGTTTGAGGCCAGCCTCAGTAACTTAGCAAGACCCTAAGCAACTCAGTGAGACTCTTCTAAAAATAAAAAAAGCTGTGCATTAGCTGAGTAGTGAAGTGCCCCCTGGCTTAAATCCCAAGTTCCAAATAACAACAACAACAAATCTGTAAACAAAAGCTAAACATAATTTGAAGTTTACATTTAATCTCTTTGAAATTCGGTTTAAACTCTAAGTTATATCATAAATGATCTCTTAAAACTCCCACTCTAAACTTTCTCAAAAATAAACTGTCACAAAAATGTATAAATTTAAGGTATCCCTGATGTTTCTTATATTCATCATCTTTCCAATTTTGTAGTGGAAAAGCAGGAAATTAAGTTCCGATATGTGGCTAAATTTACTTGCATCTGATTTTGGATTAAGTATTATTTTGTATTTGTATTTTGGATAAAGGGATTCTATGTGCAGTCTAAAACTTTCCCCAAAGCCATATTTACATTAATCATACAACATTTTATATACACATAATACAAATTCATAGGAAACAAATTAACCTACACTTTTCATAATGTAAAAAATAAAAATAAAAAATACAAATGTGACCACATGCTAAGTTGACTGAGAAATATGCGTGGTGTCTGGTTCCAGTGGTTCCTTGGGTAACTTGAAGCATGTCACATAAACCCACTACAGATGCTTAGTTTATTGTTGACCTCAGCCTAGGCCAAACCACAGTTTTAAGTGAAAAGTTTTCTGTTAAAGCTAGTGCCATACAAGTACTTGAGTTTGCTGAGAATATCTGCACAGGACAGAAAAGATTTAGGGAAGGCATGATAGTAGATGGCAAATGTTTGGAAGCATATTATAGGGAAGGATTAAAATTCTTTTTCCAGGGGGAAATCAAAGCTTTCCAATAAGAGCTATGCAAATCCTGAAAGTTCTGCTTCACCAGTGTGGACTCCTAGTCCCGTGAGTAGCAGTGCCTTTTCAAGGGCCTGGTAGTGAGGACTCCTGGACTGACAAGTGGTTAGCCTGTTAGGATCTCTGAAGTTCCTTGATGGAAATTATTTTGTTGAGATTGATTTTCTGGCATTATATGACTTCTTAGGCAGCTGGCTTTATCTTGTGTTTCTGCCTATAAAGCAGTGTTTGATTTCTGTTATACTCTTTATAAATAGAAAGAACCTCCTGAAATACATCAAAGTAAAAATTTCTGATCTCATTACTCTCCCATGAAGACAAGTAGGTGGCTGTGATGAGCTTTAGTAGCATTCTGCACCTTGTAAGTCTTCCGCCATCCACTGGAGGAAGTAGGTTAGAAGCAAAGAATTAAACTGGAGGTGGTGGGGGTGTTATCCAGTTTAAAATGTTTACTGTTCCATGATTCCTGATCTTGAGAAAGAATGGGAAGTCCTGATGACATTCCTTTGCTTCAGATGGCATGCCAATACTTACCACAGTAAGGAATTCTTAGGATCAGATTTGAGGTATAGCAGAGTAAGAAGCATGGACAATTTTGACCTATATTTAATAAACAATAACAACTCTCCTATAAGTTGGAAAAAGTTTTTAACGCTAAAATCAAGGCCTTTTTCAAACACTTAAATGCACTAAAATGTACATGAAAACCCTATGGCTGGAAATATATAAGACAAATAAATAAGGTCACATGGTTTATACATCTCAAATTCTTAGAGAGGCCTGGCAGTAGTTCAGGAAGACAGTTTAAAGAAATGTTCCCTGAGTTCTTGAGGCAACCTCACAGATAAGTCCATGACCTCCAAGACTTTTGAGATAGGAAAACTCACATGGACCGCATATCCCTTCTCCAAGAGTGAGTGTGTAGTCCAAAGTGGTTTGTTCAGTGCTTTTCCTACAGTTCAAATGCTTTAAGAATGTGGCTTTATCCATTTTTTAGAAAATGAGGGACCAAATGAAACTTCTAAGAGGAGGAAGAAAAAGACTGTTTAAAGAAAAGTAAAGCTTCATCATTAGTTAAGAGTGCAGTTGAGTAAATCAGTTCTAAACCTCTCACATAGCAAGAGTAGTAATAGTAAGTGGAAGAAGGTAGAGCTCTATGGACTTGGGTTTTTCTGGTCTCAATTACTGAGCCCAGCCCTCCTATCAAAGAACCAAAACTATTAAAAGCAGAATGATTTTTCAGTATTTAAATGTGCAATACCTAAATTTGTTTTTAAATAAAGTCCCTAATAACCATTTTAGTAAGGTCTCAAACTTAAATATATGGAATTTATATGTATACATATTGGCATACAATGGTGCTTTAAAAACACATTGAAAACTGGGATTTAAAGTTTCTTAAATTGTTTTCATATATTAATTTTCTTGGTACCTACTAGAATACTTAAAAAATAAATTATTTGTAAGTGTTAAATTTTAACAGTCAAATTGTTACAATGAATAGACTCCAAAATTTAGGTTGGCTTAATTTTAAGCCATTGAAAGTTTTTTGTTTTTTTTTTTAAACAGGGTTAAGAGATACTACTGAAATGTTCCTTCTCTTTCAGTAAAGTGCACAAAAATGAGTGCATCCTTTGGTGTGGCTATGACCTCAAGGGAGGCATAGAAGTCAATGGTGCTGGTGTCAGGTTCCTGACTATATTACTGAGGCTGGCAATCTTCTCTTCTAGGAGGTAATTTTTCTTCTCTGCTGTTTTCTGTCGCTGTTCGGTCATTTCCAGAGCTTTCAGCAACTGGGCATTTTCAACATACAAATCCTTCACCATTGCATCGGCTTTAGTATTCTTGCAGAGCTAGAAACAGAATCAGAAACACTGTGACTCCATTTCTGTAATTAATCTTTTAAATTTAAGGAAAGATATCAGGATAGATGCATTATAAAGGCAAATCATGCCTACCAGTTACATTCTTATCTTTTACAGTACAGCTTTAACATCAGATTCAGCATCAGGGAAACAAGAACAAACCCACTTTTTCCAAGCTCTTTGCATGTTTGCAGAAGTTACTAATATATTTTTTTAAGAATTTTAATATTTATTTTTTAGTTTTCGGCGGACACAACATCTTTGTTTGTATGTGGTGCTGAGGATCGAACCCGGGCCGCACGAATGCCAGGCGAGCGCACTACCACTTGAGCCACATCCCCAGCCCAGAAGTTACTAATAGAAAGAATAGATTGCTGTTTGAAGGCTCCAAAATGAAAGACTTTATTTCCCACCTAAATAAACTAGATGTATTCCTTTATTTTTTTAAAACATCACAAATATTTTTGTAACTTTAATTTTTGAGGTGTAAGGAGTGAATTGTATTAAACTCCATTCTTAACAGTAGAGCCTGAAGCTTTCCATTCGTAACTACAACCTATTATTCATTTAAAAAACGAGCTCACAAATTACAACAAAGAGATGAGATGTGAGCAGTTGTTTTTCGTCAGCTTCTCCCTTTTTGCATGCGGCCTTGCCTAGAAGGTATATACTAATCCTTATGGTTAGAACATATCATCTAGGTTGGCGTGGGAAAACTTTTTAGCAGACATGGAATACTTTTATTCTTGCTCCTTTAATATCTTCAATCTCCTTTCCCATGTTAACTCTTCACTCGACTCCCAATTTCAAGCAGGGCATCTTAAAGAATAAATGTTTAAGGGAATAAAGACCAACTACAAAGTGGCTAAATTATTAGCATTTCAAAGGTCAATGATAATTTAGATGACTGGCAGGTATAACATACTAGCATTTTAGAACCTACTCTCTTTTGAAATACCACCTGTCTTCTTTCCTTTTTCCCTCCCTTCTTTCACTTAGGAAACAATACAATGGTTCCTCATGACCTACAGAATAAAATTCCCTTTTGGGATACCATGCAAGGCCCTCTCTTTCTGTCCTTTCCCGTCTTTTCTCCCAGGACAGTAGGAACTGGCAATATCCATGTATCTATAGATATCCACACCCCACATGGTGACCTAACTTCATGATGCTCTCATAGCCTAGAATGCCCTTCCCACAGTTATTCACTTGTTCAAATCTCACGCAACCCTCAAGATTTGATTTAAGAGACCTTCAGGAAGCTTTCTTTAAATCTCTGGGTTTTATCAAGTGTCTCTTCTCTTGTGTGCCATCTATTGAAACAGGGCTAACCCTATTTTATATATTTTTGAACCTATCATTTGATGGAATGCTTGGTACCTTGTAGGTGTGATAGAATTCACCTTCTATATGGGCAGGGATGTAATTTTGTTCACTGCTGCATCTCTAGTGCCCCATATAGGACATGGCCCAAAGTAACTATGTGTTGAACAAATGAGTACTTAAAGGATTGAATGGGAAAATGCTCACTGATAGGACTTTCTCTTTCTCCTCTGTTCATTAAGATATAGGGCAAGGAACATTCCTGTCTACACCTATTTCCAGACCCTCTCTTGGGGTTATCATTCTCAGGTTTTATTTATCTAGAAAAACAAGTTGGGCAATTTCCCTTGCCCCAGTCTGTCTCAATCTTGGTTTCCAGAGAAGCTGATAATACTTTCCTAGGAGGTGGTTCTCTTTGCATAGCTTTTTTTCTTGGGGAGGAATTTTGGGGATTGAACTCAGGGGCACTCGACTACTGAACCACATCCCCAGCCCCATTTTGTATTTTATTTAGAGACAGGGTCTCATTGAGTTGCTAAGTGCCTCGCTTCTACTGAGGTTGGCTTTGAACTCGTGATCCTCCTGCCTTAGCCTCCCAAGCTGCTGGGATTATAGGCGTTTGCCATGAGTTCCTAGTTCCCTCCTTGCCTCCTTGTGTAGCTCTTTGGAAGATGCACAACTAACCTCTAACCACTGAAGTCACTTCTGCCACCAGCAGGTGGAAAGGATAAGGCTTCTTAGTCGTCTGGCATTTGGGGTCCAGACTTTATACAAGGCACATCCTTTTAGGGCAATGAGATACTTTTTGAGCTTGCCATAGCTGTTGGAAACAGGAAAGCTAACTCTCCAGTCATTATCCACCAATATCATTTTTCTGTTTTGTTTAAATGGCATATTGCTTATGTTGGACAGAAAAAGATCTGTTAAGTATTCATTTTGAGCCACTGAACCTCATCAGGAATGCTTCAGATCCATGTTAACCACTGTTAGCAGATATTTATTTTTTAAACTTGGGGTGGACAAACATATACCTAGAAGAGTTTTGGAAAAATATAGAATATAGAATTTACCTTTTGAGGGCATGTGAGGGTGAGTGAATCCTAAGTTCTTCTAGACATCTATAGAATTTGCCTTTATTAGACAACACAAGTTAGCAAGTTAATGGCAAGAAAGGAATGTTAAAACTGGAATGTGGGGTGGGTGGAAGATGTGTCTGGGGAGGCTCACTTGTTCTTTGAGCTGATTCACTTTCTCTTGAAGAAGCCTTTTCACCAGTTTCAGTTTCTGTTCAACTTCTATCATTCGTTCCTCCATGACAGTTACCAGCTGTTCCTGGCTTCCCTGAAGGGAAGAAAAAAAGTATATCATCATTTGAAAATCATGCTACATCTAAAGCACTAGTTGTTTATTCTCCCCACAAGATGCCTGGAGGAAGTACAGCCAATGTTTTGCCTTTTAAACAGGAAGGATGGATTTCTGATGAAATGGGGGAGTTCTGAGCACTGCATTGATTGCACATGTCAGAAAAGTAGTCCTATCAGAGAAAGAATCAAAGAGAAAACAAAGAATCTTACCTGTGGTATACCATTGTCCCCTGATAAAAAGAAAAATTCTTAAAACCCATAGTTGAATATCTGTGTGCACTTCATATATAGTAAAATGGGTATCCAAAGTAAATTAAAAGAGGGTGATCAACTCCCATCCTGATTTGGGTATTTATAATACTGTGGGTCTCTCGACAACAAAACAAACACTGAGTTTATTCAGGGTTGCTTAATGTTTCCATTCAGCTTGCAACACACGTCTGTTTTTCTTCAGAAATAACTGATTACTTTTTTGAGGGTGTTAGGGTTTTTTCTTCATAGTAATCATATCTTCCTGCCAGTTTTTCTAGTCATCTGTTGACTTGTCAATGTGAAGCAAACATCTGGATTGGAGGATGGATTTATCATCAGAGTAAATTGAAAATTAAGAAGCCTCTCTCCACAGACAACTCCTAGATAAAGCCACTGGGCAGGAAGGGGCCCTAACTTTCTCCCTCTCCTCACACAACAGGGCTAGGTGTGTGGGTTTCTGGAAGCAGAGTGATGTAAACAGAGATTAGAGTCTGACTGATTGTCCCTCTCCTCAGCTGGCCTCCAACCCCTCAAAATTTCCAGAGAAGGAAGTTCACATTTCAAAAGGTGCTTCAAATCTTGTAGTTCAGGTGTTAATGGCTGATGGAACTTAAATATTCCTTTTTTTAAAAATTATTTTTTAAAGTATTGGGGATTGAACCTAGGGGTGCTGTACCACTGAGCTACATCCCCAACCCTTTATATTTTCTTTTGAGACAGGACCTCCCTAAGTTGCCCAGGTTGTCCTTGAACTTTCCACCTCCTGCTTCAGCCAGTTGCTGGGATTACAAGGGTGTGCCACGCCACACACTGGCTGCTCTTAAATATTCTTAAAAAGGCATACTTTAAAAAGTACTCAGAATGACCAAATGTGTTAAAGCCAAAGTTTGCTTGGATATTAAATAATTAGCATTTAATTATAAAAGAAATAATTAACTCATGTGACTAATTTGAAGATAAAAGTTGTAGGAGGCAAAAGTCTAATGCAAAAAACTGAATTTCAATAAATTGGGCCTTGAACATCTAGGCCTAACAACAACTTTTTAAAAGTTCTATTTATTTTAAAAGACATATGGCTTTTTAAAGTTCAAATACAAATAAAAATGTTTGATTTCCACTTGCATAAAAAAATCAAAATATAAAACCACAGTTACAGAAAATTCAAAGTATACAGAGTACAGCAAAAGAGTGGGGGAAAAGAGGAAAAACAAAGGCAGGCATATATTTAAAATTTATTTTATTGTTTCATCAAAATTTTCCTTTTTTTCTGGCAAAAAGTATTATACATCTTATACAAAACAGTATAAATAACCCTGATTCTCTTCAAATTCCATATATAAAAGTAGAACCTTTTGTTAAAAAATAATTACAACTTATGGAATGAGAAAATATATAGAATACATCCTTTCAAGAATCTTAAATCCACACTCTTTAAATGGTATAAATAAAATGATTTGTAACAAGCAGAAATTTGTGAATTTGATTCACAAGATCTGTCATTTCTACATAAATAAATAATACTGCAAAGGCTTAATAGTAAAAATCATAATAGAATAATTTTAAAGAGCACTTATGTCATGTCTCAGCTTATGCCTCTGTTAGTGTGGTTTATGTGTGTGTGTGGGTGTGTGCATTTGAGAGTCTGCCATAGTAACAAATGCCATCAATAGCAGCCCAGTTTTCACAGGTGCCCAATCCTTCTGTAGGAATCTGCATGCACTGCTCGCTGCTCCGGTAGCAAGGCCTAGAGAAAGAAGGCAAGTGGTATACTTCACCCTGATGTCAAGATTATGTATTTTTAGGGAGTCTAAATTCACACATTTATGATGCAATTTTTCAAAGCACACACATTAACACTACACTACATTACACACGCAAGCAAAGCAACACAAAGGCAGAAGACATTACATCACTCCACACAGACAACGTGCAGATTCCAATAATATTTTGTATTCTTAGAATTAGTGTCAGCTGGGCAATCAGAAATGGGAGAGTCTGAAGTGGTGATCTAGTCCGAGTAAGCACCCTTTGCTCTGGCTGGGTTTGTCTTTTTTTTTTGTATGAAAATTTTAAGTTTTGGTCTAATCCTGAAGCAAATGGAGTAAAAGGATGTTTTTAATTCTTAAATACGGGTGGGTGGGTGGGTTGGGAAGAGCATGCTTTGAAAATAGTGTTTATGGGAAGTCAATGAATAGAATCTTAGTCAAATCATTTAGTTTAGACAGTCCATTAGAAATGGAAGTTAAGGTTGTATGGTCAATGATATAATGAAGAGTTGAAGCATTGACCATTGCAATTTTAATTTGCAAATTTAATTTTAATACTGGGAAGTTGAAAGCACAAACTTCAAAGTTTTGTTAGGAAGAATAGGTAGCAGGAGTACCAAAAAAAAAAAAAAAATACTAACAAAGCCCAGATATATACTAGTAGTAGAGAAAAACAACTGTTCCTATGGATAATTACAGTGCTCACGTAACTTTGCCAAGCTACTCTGAAGGGATTAAGAAAGAGTTGGGGGTGCTGGGGATGTGGCTCAAGCGGTAGCGTGCTCGCCTGGCATGCGTGCGGCCCGGGGTTCGATCCTCAACACCACATACAAACAAAAGATGTTGTGTCCACCGAAAACTAAAAAATAAATATTAAAAAAATTCTCTCTCTCTTAAAAAAAAAAAAGAAAAAGAAAGAGTTGGGAAATTCCTTATCAAACGTTGTTGGAGAGGTAAGGTGTATAGAAACAGAAGTGCATCTAAAGCAGAAGGAATTTAGAATTCCACAAAAAAGTATTTGTTCTTTTTATTCCTAATTATGAATTAACTACATGGGCAAGACCAAAGAGTTATGAAACTTCTGAAAAAGGATGATTATGAATGAAGCACCAAAGAGAAATAACTGTTTGAAAACTTAGGTAATATAAGATGGTATTTGGTAGTGACCCAGAATAAGGCTAATTCAAAGCCAATGGGAAGATCTTTATTTTCCTAAAAATCATTTTTCAAACTAGATTATAAAACAATTGAGCTTAATGATCATATCCACTAAGAAATATGTCACCAACTACACTTTCTTCTACCTTAATTGTGAAACACTCCACCTGTAAATTCCATGGATGTTGGTGGGCCCCACCCATCTGGTGCAGTTAAGGATGTTTTGTTCCTAATGTAAATCCTAGAGCTGCACTTGCATTTTGTAGTATTTTTGACATGAGATGAGAATGATGGCCAATTGTACACTATGCTCAAGTGATTCTGATGCTTTGTCTTCTATTACAAGTGTGCAAAGGAGACCCAGAACATCTTAGAAGTGAAGAGCTGGAAAGTAGTGCTGCAAAAACAAAACAAAAACCAGCACTGCAGAACTCTGGATTTGTGATACAGGGAAGTTGTCACTCTCTGAGAGTAGATTTAGGTTTGTTGTCCCCACATTTGAATTGGTTTTATTTGAACTTTCAAATAAAAGTAAAATTAATTAGGCAATCTGAATTTACTACTAGAGGAAAAGAACGCTTCATACCTGTGGTGTGTTGGTTTCGGAGGTCCTGTTGTCAAGTTCCTCCTGTAGGTGCTCATTTCTCCTTTCTGCCTGTAGTAGCTGGTGTTGAAGCTGCAGAAAGTGCTCCCTGGGCACCATCAAACAGGCTTGCTGCTGGAGCAGCTGCAGATCCCAGTGAGGGGATGAGCTAAGCATCACAGTGGACCTCAGGTGCTGCATCTGAAGGACAAGGGCAAAAGCCTAGTCAGCAGCAGTGCCTTCTGTCACAGAGCTGCCCCTGAATGTGTCAAGCAATAGTGAAGCCTATAAATTTGCTAATGGCCCCACACCCACCCATAGCTTGGAAACAGGACAGCACATGAGCCCAAGAGAGATGTAAATGAGAAGAGCCATTTTGCTTAGGACATAATATAATCAAGAGCAGGCTTTCTCAAGATTATTAGACTTTAAAAAACAGCACTTCCTCATCTTGAGTGACTGTGGGAGTCTGGGGCACAATATATAGTATATCTGAATTCCATCTCATTTTTTCTTATGCTAGAATGTTTGATAACCCTCCTTTAAAAAAAAAAAAACTGAAGTTAGACTAGGGAAATAAGGGGAGTAAGTGATTATGTTTTAGGCTTGTGCTACTTTACTTACCATTGGTAAAGATTCTTATTTTCCAAACCCAAGTAAACAAATTTTTAAAGAATCTTTTCCTGAACTTAAAATTATTTTAACCCATCATTGGTTTGTCAATAGATAGTGAAACCCTTTAATAGCACAAGACAGGCAATTCTGGGGTATAAGGCCATATCCTAGAACATCTGGGAACTGGAGGACAAGACAATGAGGAAATGGTATGTCAACATGAGAATAAAATTTAAGGAAAGAAAAAGGGGGAGACTGCATTTTGGCCAATGGAGCACGCCACCTCACATCTGTCAACACACGCAACAGACACAGGGCTCAAGGGAAGGCATGCAACAGCATGAGAAGAAGCACCTCCAGGCTTGAGTGGGGGAAAAAGAACTTCTAAAACTCAAACACAATTAAATGCTATGATGAAACTTCAGAGCCACTATCCATTTCTTTAAATTTCTGAGGTGCACCATTACCCATTTTGAAATACTTCTAGTTGATTCAGAAAAGCTACCACTTTATTTTTGTGAATAAAAAATATGGAGAACTATGATCCCATGATTTTATACCCGTGGGATAATTTTCTTCATATAATGCTTTTAATACTGATGAAAATCCTGATGTAAATGCAGAAACGTATTCTAGAGTTAAAACAAAATAAAAATGAATACTGGCTCTTACCAGAAGTATTTATTCACTGGTATAGTCATCAGAAATGATTACAAGAACAAAGAGTTTAATGAGATGGCCCCATGCTATGAAAATTCATTGAAAGAGAATGTTCTACCTTCACACACTATCTCAGGCAGAGCACTGCACCCTTCTCTGCCACTTCCAACCACTGAGTTCTAGATACAGGTTAGCCATAGACAAAAACAAACAAAAGAAAATCACAGGAGTTAGAAAAAGAGGAAGAAAAGTAAGAGTTATAAAAGAGAAGGAACAGTATCATTTGGTTATGTTATATTCATGAATAAGAGCATATGAAGAGCTAACATTTACATTTTTCTATACATAAATTTAATAAACATTAAAATGTCTTAATAGCTTTACTTTTGCAACTGCATCCTCATTGTTATAATTTGGTTGATTTTGTGTGTGTGAGAGAGAGAGAGGAGAGAGAGACCATGGGGTATTCATCCCACTATAATTATTTAAAAAATTCCAGGTCTAGTATGGAATGGATCTGATGTTAAAACCCTTGCCACTGGAGATGCAGAATTTATTTATTAAATATTTTTTTTAGTTGTCAATGGAACTATATTTTATTTATTTATATGTGGTGCTGAGAATCGAACCTAGTGCCTTGCACATGCTAGGCAGGCACTTTACCACTGAGCCACCACTCCAGCCCTAGAATTTAAACTAAAACATTTTGTTCCACTGTCTAACTTGTTGGCTCTTACAGTGGCGTATAGCACACTTGAGAACTGCTGAGATGGTCTGTACCACCTCCCTCTTCTTTTTTCAATGTTCAAACTGAATTGTTTATTGAATGCTGCCTCATCTAGTTAAATCCCTGGAGTGGAAGTCAAATTCTAGCCCTAATTTGACTAGAATTAGTCTAGAATCTCCTACTCTGGTAATTTGCACACTTTCATTACACTGGAGTAGGATATGTATTGGATTACATCAGAGACTTTCCAACTTATATATAGAGAGGAAGAGAGACTTCCCCTCAAGGGAACTTGTACATCAGATCAGATCAGAACTGCCTAGAAAGCTTTGCTCAAATTCCCTGAAACCACAGATGTATCTCTGATGTAGACACATCTCTGTCTGCTCACCACCCCTAACCTCACCAGGTGAGAATCTCTGCCAGAGAGGAAGGACTACACAGATCCCTCAGGTAAGCTTAAAAAAAAAAAGATGATGTGAAAGCCATGGCACATCTCGAAACTCGCTTAATGTATAAATACTGTACTCTAATAATCCAATTTATAAGGCCAGAAGTGGGAATGGTTAACGCTTAATGGTTATTCTGGTTAGAGTGATAAAAAGGTTTTGGAAATGGTTGTATAACATTGTGAATGTAATTAATGCCATTGAATTTTAAACTTAAAATTGGTTAAAACAGCAAATTTTATGTTATGTACATATTTACCACAGTTTAAAAAATTAATAAGGTAATACACCCCAAACCATTTAACTGTTTACTTTAAACATGTGAACCCCATATGTGAATTTATAGCTCAACAGAATTGTTAAAAAATCCAATCTGCATAAATCTAGAGTTTACAGTTCTTATTTCCTAATGGAAGTTTCATTAGAAGAGTGTACGAAATGTTCTCTTTAGTGTTTGAATAGAACATTCATGCTTTTTCCTTATTCAGTTCCAGTGCCAAGAATACTCAATTTTCCTTATTTATTAGCAAATATTTACTACTGATCAAGGGAAAAAATGATAGGAAATTGCTTATGATGGCTAATAATATAAAGTGGGACTGAGAGATAAGGGGGCTTCCCAGGCTTGGGGAACAGGCGGAGAATCAGCCTCTTGGCAGAGCATTTGGAAAACATCCAAAGGTGTAATCACCATAGTAAGTATACCCTGTTACTTCTGAGTTAATTACCAGACACATTGGGCTTAGCTTCAGATACCTTATTCATTGGAATATATAATTATTTTGTCAGAAAAAATACCTACATCTAAGTGTAGCCTGCAACTCAAGATTCTGAGTGCATTTATTATATGCTGTCAGAAAACATGGTTTGGGTTTCACTATTTATAATTTCACTAATCTCCCTATTAGTGAATAAATCGGAGAACATAAAATTGCCAGAAACCTCCGTGGTCATTTAAATGTCAATGTGATATGTTTGCCCTTATTTCCCACATTATAAAATTAAGCATTAATTTTTAAAGTCAGCTAGCATGTATTCAGCCTTATAAAAAATATTTAAATATCTCTTCTGTCTCATTATTCTGGCTTAAAAATATTTCTATACAATTTTTAAGAGCATAAAAGATATTTTCTATGCATACTTCTCTACCTTATATAAAATTTACAGTTAACTAAATGTTGTAGTAATTAAAATACTTTTATCTACCCAATGCAAAATATCTCAGTTTTACTTATTAAGTTTTACTTATTAAGGAGGGCTTGTATATAAGTTGTTTTCTAATCTTCAATGGTATTCAGTAGTATCGCAAGGTAAACTGACTGGAATTCAATGTCCAAGCTGACAAGTTTTCCAAACATTTTTACATTTATCAGATGTACCTCCCAAAAGGCAGTGCTGTGGTATAAGTGCAGTAATGAACAAAGGCAATTCTTCCCCCCGCCCCCCCGCCCCCAGGGCTTGGGAGTGAACCTAGGGCCTTGCACATACTAGGAAAGTGCTCTGTCACTGAGCTACACCCCCAGTCCTACAATGGCAGTTCTTGAAAATGAACTTAAAAATGCAAATGCTCTCAGATTCCCTGGATAGATTTCCTAACTGAAGAGGTTGTTAGTGAAATACAGGAGTATCAGGACACTGTTAAATACACACCTATGTTGAGAGCTCTAGGCCCCTTGGCCAATATCAGGTAGAAGTTCCTGCCACTGAATTTGTTGAGGTACAGGTCTTGGCATTTTAGGATATTATTTCCTCTTCTGAAAAGCAGTATGGAATTACCTGATCATGTAATTAAGCAAAAATGTCTATTAAACTTGCTAAGATAGATCAAAGAATGCAGCTTGGAAGTATACTCAGATTTTCAGGACAGGAATTCAATGTCAGGTCTAGTTTCTTCCAACAAATGGCTCATTCATGGATTAAAATATTCTTCATAGTTAAGGACATTTGCTTAAAAACTTACCTCCAGTAGCTGCTCATCCAGTTTCACTTGTTTCTTTTTCAGGCCTTCGTTTTCCAAATGAATTGTTTCTAATTCTCGTTCAAGGGAATTCACCTGATTAACCTGTTAAAAAATAAAATTCTTTAATAAGAGAAAATAAACAAACATGAATCGTTCTATTTCATTTTGGTAAATTTGTATTAGTCAGAAATCTTGATTCTTGGAAGAAAATCAAGATAATTCAGCAAAGAAAAACAACAACACAATTCAGTTCAATGCTGATATTTAAGTCATCTGGGTTAAACTAAAATTTAAGTAATGTAGATATCTTAAAAAATATATTTTTAGTTGTAGATGGGCACAATACTTTTATTTATTTATTTATTTTTATGTGATGCCGAGATTAAACTCGGTGCCTCACACATGCTAGGCATGTGCACTACCACTGAGCTACAATTGTAGCACCAGTAACGTGCGTTTAATCATTACTTCTTGCATGTAACAGATTCTTTAAGGCAGTTGACTTTTAACCTCTGTGTCATCCACTGTAAGAAATGTTTTATTCTATAACCCCAAACCCACACTGTATGTGTGTGTGCGCACAGTTACTAGTACATGTCACAAAAATAAAATGTTTATTAGGTAGTAATTATCCTTACCAGGATCCCTATACTGATATTTCCCAGTATATTTCATTAATAAAAAAAATGCTGATTTTAACTCAGTTGATTTACTGATCCTCTACTATAGATCTGCAATGGGGAAATCACTGTTTTGAGAGTATATAAATTTTGGTTTATATAACTCCTTTTTCGATTTTAAAGATGAAATTAGAAGATTTTATGGGTATCCACTTTTGGAATTCTCTTTATTACAATAGAATCTAATAAGCTACAGGACACTGGGATTCAGAGGATTGCTAAGTAGAAAACATGACACTATTCTAGATGATTTTTGCTTCTATTAAAAAGAGCCAAGGACAGCAGCTAACATTTCTAGGTCCATTTAATATTCATTGTTATTTTAAAACCCATCTTAAGACTTTTCACTTGGTGAGATTATAGATGAAACCTACTCTTTTTCTGACAACTTGACTTAAAAGTAACTGTAATTTCAACTGATATTTCAACTTAGCATACCAATTTTCTTACTACAAATGGTTATACTTTCACAAGTAAAAAAAATATGAATATAACAAAATATTGCTCATTCTTCCCATAATTTTAAGCAAATTTTTTTAAAAATAGGCATCTGTTCCATTGGCTCTTTTTTTTAAAATATACCTTTATTTTATTCATTTATTTTTATGTGGTGCTGAGGTTTGAACCCAGTGCCTCACATGTGCTAGGTAAGCACTTTACCACTGAGCCACAACACTAACCCCTTAAATGGTTTTTAAGAAGAGGAGGATATTAGAGAAAACTGAGTTTAAGTTTAGGAAAAGAAAAACAAGTAACAGAAATCATGAGAATAATATGATCTAGAACCTTAACTCCATGAGAAAAGTATAGAAAGCAACTGGAGCTGGGCTACAAAAGTTTGTCCATGTGGTAGCCAGCCTCCAAGATGGCACCCAGTGGTTCCCACCTCACAGTCTGAATCTGTCATGTAGACTTCTCTCAGACCACATCAGGACTAATCTGGGTATGTACAGACAACAGCAAAAGTGATGGTATGCCACTTCCAAGATTATGTTATGAAAGGCAGTATAGCTTCTCTCTTGGTCTTTTGGTGCCGTGTGTCTCTTATTATCACCTCAAGAAGAAATCAGCTGCCACATTTGGGCTGGGGTTGTGGCTCAGCAGTAGAGGGCTCACTTAGCAGGTGTGAGGCACTGGGTTCGATCCTCAGCACCACATAAAAATAAATAAATAAAATAAAGTCATTTTGTTCATCTACAACTAAAAGAAAAATTAAAAAGAAAAAGAAATAACCCAGGTATACACATAGTGTATACCTCCCCAAACTCACCTTCTTATTAGTAGGAGATTGTTCTTTCTGAAACTGATCACATTCTCTCTTTAAGTTCAACTTTTCTTGCTCTGTGGGCTTCACAGTACCTGATGGGTTTAGATGTTTTTGGTGCTTGGAGGGAAGAAGGTTGGATTCCAACTGACGAACCTAGCAAAAACAAATGTTAAGAGGAAAAAATGGTTATGTAATCATGTAGCCAGAAAAAAATAAAAAATAAACATATGGGGCTGGGGTTGTGGCTCAGTGGTAAAGTGCTTGCCTAGCATGTGTGAGGCCCTGGATTCAAGTCTCAGCACTTCATAACAATAAATGAATAAAATAAAGGTCCATCAACAACTAAAAAATATTTAAAAAAATAAACGTGCAAGTAAAGTTTTAATTCAGTACTTGGGTTCTGTGTCATTAAAAGTCTTTTCTTAGCAGGGTGCCTGTATTCCTAGCTTTAGGGAGTCTGAGGTGGGAAATCATTTGAGCCTAGGAGTTGGAGATCAGTCTAGCTAGGCAAGATAGCAAACTTGACCACATATCAGAAACCAAAAATGAGAGCAATAAAAAATATTTTTCAGTCTAGCTTGCCAATTTTTTTTTTTTTTTTGGTACCAGGGATTGAAGTTAGGGGTGTTTAATCACTGAGCCACATCCCTAACCCTTTTTAAACATTTTAGAGTCAGGGTCTTGCTAAGTTGTTTAGGGCCTCACTAAGTTGCTGAGGCTGGCTTTGAACTTGTGATCCTTTGGCCTCAGCCTCCTGACAGGCTGGGATCACAGGCATGCGCCATCGCACCTGGCTTAGCTTGCCAATTGTTGAAGCTTACTTCTATGGATTTCCAATGATCCTTTCTAGGTAAATCTGGCTGGGTCTATAAACCCAACATTGTAAGTATCGGACAAGGTAGAAGGGATCTATCAAGACTCCAAGAGTCAAATTGTGATGTGATTATCAAGATCACAGACATAGCAGTCCTAGTCCCTGCAGCTCTGGCATGAGTATAACTTTCGCAAGTGAACAGTCCCATCTATTCTGTATCAGACTGCTTGTACCTGAAACAGTACATTTGCACTATTAAGTTCCACGAGGACAGGGACCATGTCTTTCTTGTCCCCCACCATGGCTTCAGTGACAACAGTTTCTAAAGGAAAATCTGTGCTCTAGTTTCTCCTCAGTAGAGGTGCTGAAGCACAGATTAAATATAAACAGTGAACTTAAGAGCAGAAGTAAGGAATTCAAGCATAGTTTGTTGGTTGGAAAAGATCTTTAAAAATCACTTTAACCTTGAAATGCTGACTCTAACTAACTCCTTATAAGGAGCTAGACCCATAAGATCTGAGTCTAATTTTGTCATTTTTGTAACTTCTGGTCTGGGCAGCTATCCAATTGGAATAAGAACTATATGGTTGACATAATTTCTACGAGTCTATATTTTTTATATCAGGATTAAAATCACAGATTTATTTTAATATAGAACTCCTTATACAAAATGAAAAAAATATTTTCTAAACATACTTGGATAAAATTATATGTAAGTAAATGATAAATGATACACTCTTAAAATAAGTCTTCTTTCACAGGCTACTCAAATCTGTACCCTAGAACCACTTCAATCATATCACACATTCATTTTCATATCAAACTAATCCTTTTCAGACATATGTCATGATGTGCCAGCCTTTGGAGTTACCTTTTCCCGGGAGTGTGTGAGTTCTGCTTTGGTGTTCTGTACCACAGTCTGGAGTCTCTCATTCTCTTGCCAAAGCAGCTGTTGTTCCTCATTTATCAGATGATCCAACTTGTCCCAAGACAGCCTTTTCTGCTGGCTATGGAGCCCTGATGGATGGGTGGCTTTTTCTGGGTCCCAGTTCTTAAGAGAGAATTGCAGAGGTAAGCCTTAAAATGATCCTGATGGGTCATTTCTGTTTTAAGAATTGTATCCTATTTACCTAATGACATCAATACTCATTAAGCACCTTTCAACCTTTTTTGTGTGCCTAATGTGTATAGATATGAATAAACTATATTCTTAGAATATAGATATGATATGAATATAGATATGAATAAAACTATATTCTTGGAATTTGATTTTTAAAAATCAGGTTTGGAAATTCTCTGTTCAAAATGGCCTTTGGGAAAACTGGCCAGTCAGGTTCAATAGCAAATAGGATTATAGAGCAAATCCCAGTTACTAATAGGACCCAAGTATATGGAAGTTGGTGGCATGAAAATTGCCTTGTTCTTAGGAAGTTATCTTTGAACCCGTATAATACTCTTTTTCAAAAAATATACATATATTTGTATAGATATATACAAATGGACACAATGGCTTTATTTATTTATTTATTTATTTATTTAATGTGGTGCCAAGGATCAACCCCAGTGCCTACCGTATGCTAGGCTAGTGCTCTACTACTGAGCCCTAGCCCCAGCTCCTGAACCCAGATTATACTATTTTGATTAACAAAAAACACAAAAGGAACTCTGAAAGGCACTGCCAACCTGAAACCTTTCACCAGCCAAACTTTTTCGTTTTCACATATGTAATCATATCCCTTTTTAGAATCCCAAAATACATATTGTCCATGTAATTGAGGCTTGGATTCAGAAATGTGCTTTAAATTACCAGAGTGATATATTTTTTTGAACTAAAAATAATTTTAAAAAACAAAAACAAAAAAGCAATACAACTAAGTAAGTCTCCTGCCTTTTAAGCTAAATATGAAAAATAAAAAAGGTAGAATCTCAATTAGAAAAAGAGTCAGCTCAAAAGTAATTTTTAAAATACAAACTACATTATTTTTAAAAAGTACCACCAAGAGATAAAAATAACTGAATTAGTGCCTACTTTCACTATAGACAAAATCTTAACATCCACCTAAAGACTAGCATCTATAAAATTCTTAATTTACTTGTATACAGATTGATTAGCATTTGTGATAGTTTAAGATGAGATACTTTTTTTTTTTTAAGTTGTCGACAGACCTTTATTTTGTTTATTTATTTTTATGTGGTGCTGAGGATTGAACCCAGTGCCTCACCCATGCTAGGCAAGTGCTCTACAACTGAGCCACAACCCCAGCCACTTTCTAACAACACTGTAATGTGCCAGCTAAGGCTTTAACCAGCTCTTCCTGGTCTTCCTGGTACCATAGGTGAAACCCATTAGGTGGCAATGAATTATCTCCTGAAATTCACCATTGTTGTTTTATGCAATAGTTTTCCTTCTCAGGAAAAGCTTACTTTTCTTGCAGCCCTTGTGTGTGTTTCTTGATTAATTTCTTGTAATATTTTTCTTGACTTAATTTTTTTAGTCACATTAAAAAATAGGATGCTCTTACATATCAAAGTTTGGAAGTGTTTTAATTTCATTACTACAAAACTCAACTCAGCTATGGTCTTTTGACTTGTTCAATACCAAAAAATTACCTTTTGATATACTTTATATTTTCACTTATATGATGTTCAGAAACAAGCATCTCTGACCTATGGTGACAGAAGGTACATAAATCCATCCCTTCCCAAGAGCCTCTCCTCTCACTGGTTCAGTGGGCACCCACATGGAAAGTCAGTTTGGCCCCAGAAAAGTGACTGTGAAACATATTTGCTGAGGCAGTGGGAAGAGCAATCTGCTCGGCAGAGGGAAGCAGAAAGTGCTTCCATTCAAAAGTGTAAGTTTGCCCTTTGTAACAAGGAGTGAGACTAGCTGTGTGTGGATTCATGAAGGGGCTGGGACTGGTGGAATGCTTGGAGTCCCTCAGCTTGCCACCCCAGCTCCCTTTGGGTTGGTCACCTCCTGCAAGTTTAGAGGAATTCAGAGGCTTCAACTGCTGTAGTTTGGACACTTGCCATATCCCTGAGCACATCGACTGGGGGATCCAGATAGATCCACAGGCTTGGTGGGTGGCCATGTTCCACCTTCCAAGTACAAAAAAAGAGGCATTGGGAGTGAATGTAGCTGAACTGTGGATAACTTTGCCCTAGCACAAGCTAGTGGGCAAGGAAGGGTGGAGCTAAGCCTACAGACCGCCCTAACTGGTTTGGCCCCTTTGTGTTGGAGCTGAGGACGAACACACAGGACTGAAGCTGCAGCCTGCAACCTCGCCCCCCCATACCTGGTGGATTCCAAAATTAGAAATCCCAGAAAAAAGTATATCCACTTAAAATACTTTGGACAAAAGGAATCCTAGCCTCTTTTTGTTTCTGCCTTCATTATGTTCTATGTTGTTTTGTTTTCCCTCATTTTATACTTTTATCTAATTTTAAATTAAATTTAAATTTTAAAAAATTATTTAATTGGATTTTTCTTTCCTTCTCATTTTTATTTCCTCTTTTCTTTCTTCTTCTTCTCATTTCTTCTCTTTTCCCTCCCCTCCCCACTTTTCAATATTTTAGTACTAATTTTACTTTAATTAATATGTCCTAGTGTAGCTTATTCTATATTATTTCCTCTCTTTGGTTAGTAGACCTGTAGAGGTAATTTCTAATAGGGTTTTTTTTTTTTTTTTAGTTTTTTTTTTTTTTAGATGGACACAGTATCTTTCTTTCTTTATTTATGCGGTGCTGAGGATCGAACCCAGTGCCTCACGCATGCAAGGCAAGTGCTCTACCACTGAGCTACCGGGGGTAATGGGTGGGTAGAAATGCACAAAAGTATGTTATATGCATTTACAAATATGTCACAATGAAATCCACATAAGTAATAAGAACTAATAAAAAAAACTATTTCAAAGGAACTTCTCTTTATAAAACAAGTGGGTATCAGTATTATCAACTCAAGAGCCAGCTGGGTGCCAGAAATGTTCTATATTTTGACTAGTGGTAGTTATACAAACACATTCACAAAAATACAACTATATGTAAAATTATATATATCTATATGACCACATTATAGAAGAAAAAGGTGTGCCTCAATAAAAAAAAATTACCTTGTCACCCACATTCTGAAGTTGTTTGTGTAAAGACATCACTTCCTGTTTCAAAGCTTCCTTTTCCTGCTGAGTCACTCGGAGGTCAGATTTAATCCGAGACATTTGAAGATTCACATTCTGCAGGGTTTCCTCTAAATTCTGAACCTGCATGAAAAGAATAAGCTTACACTGCTACCCAAACCTCATGGTCTTACTGCCACCATGTCCAGGAATGAATAAACAGGGACTAGAGAACTCCAAGGCTCCTGCTTCTGCTTACTATATCCAGTTCTCTTTTCAGTAGTTTGGTGGAAACCCAGGATATTATGTAGGTTTACAAGATGCTAAATTATGTTTAGGAAAATGGTAAACTGTGCCTGGAGCAAGGTAGTGCTGATAGTCACCTGGTAGATCGCCAAGTGATAGCTGACAAAGGAGTGCCGACTGGCATCACAAAAGGTGGCTTCACTGTGTCCTGGAGAAACTGCATTTCAGCCTGTGGTATTGGTTTGTAAATGATCTCTTCATTGAAAATAATAATATATGCTTGTAGAAACCTATTTTGCACTGATATCTCATATATATATTTCCATTAAAACTTCAAATTTTGTAAAAGGAATGTTGATAGAGATCTTTAATAGGGCATGGACCTGCTTCAGAAATCCTATTTCTAAATTGGGAACAAACACTGATTTCAATATACTATTCTCAAGGTTTCATAATAAGTAATCTCATAATTAAAGAACTTTGAAGGAAATGTTGTTTGCATTATATGGACATACTATGTAACGTATATGTAAAATTGGATACTATGTGATCATTCTGAGCCCACCTGGAGTATTCTTTCCACTGGGATTTCTATTGGAAGACATAGGAAAATATTCATGTGGTGATGAAACAGGAATTGTCCACATACCTTTTCCTGTGAAGCCACCAGCTGTGACTTCAAGCTCTCGCTCTGGTGCTCCCAAGACTTTTGTTCTTGCTTCATTGTAGCAATTCTGTGCTCTAAACGTCTTGATTTTGCCACCTGTTTCAGGAAGAGAAGCAGGTTAAGAAGGCATTTTTGCAAACATACCTAGCCTCAATTTATCAGCCTTTGCTTACACTGTCAAGAACAAGTACCATCTACATGGGAGATCAGGGAAAGGAAAAATAAAGTAGAAGTTTTCCTGACTCTGTTCTACTTCTAATTTTGAGTCTTTTCATTTTTGGGTTTTCCCATTGTTTTTTTTTTTTTCCCCTCACTGCCTCTTTTTTTTTTTTAGTTGTAGATGGACAGAATGCCTTTATGTTATTTGTTTATTTTTATGTGGTGCTGAGGATCGAACCCAGTGCTAGGCAAGCACTCTGCCGCTGAGCTACAGCCCCAGTCCCACGCCTCATATTTTGATGGTAGGAAATGTTGGGCTGGAAGGCAATTAGAAATCTCAGGAGTGTACTGTAACAGGAAAACACAGAATAAGGCAGGTAGGGAGAAAGAAATCAGAGGTTTTAGATCTGCTAAGGAAACTAATAGAAAAAATTGTCTATGAAATAGATTTCAGATTATTAAAAACAATGTATCAGTTATAGCATATAGAACAGTAGCATTATTGTATATAGATATTATATATTTAAGCATTATCCCGATATACTAAAATGAGACAAAGTCACAATCTTGGCTTCATGATATCTAAGGTAATGTAAGACCAGCTGAAATGCTGTTCCAGGAAACTCTGGAACATGGGAGGCCCGTGGTTGAGTACCCCTAGAGAAATGCTCTTTAGGGAACACATTCCATGATGTGGTAAAATCTTATTGTTTTTACTACCTTATCCACGTAGCTATTTAATTCTTCACTCAGAGCTTCTTTTTCTTTCAGCAGTTGTTCATTGTAGCTTAGAACACTAGAAATTTTTTGCTGGAAGTCAGAGAGATCAGGACATCTGTGCAGCTGTAAGAGATAAACAAATGAGCCCCACCATCATCTCCTGGCTGTGTTCATAAAGAGGTTTTTATAAACAGGGCATTTTCATGACTGCTGAGATTTCCCTATCTGTAGATATTTCAGAGGACATATAAACTCTTGCAGACTATAATTAACTTTAACAAACTGTTCCCTGCTGGCTTCTCTTTCACTCCCCAGTTCAGTGCTGCAATGTCTGCTCAGATGGACTCAGACAGACATTGTTAAATAATGATCCCAGCTTTCAATTTCACCTTCAGGGTAAAATAACTGTACTGCCATTCTGCCATCCATCTAACTTGTGCACAGTGACACATTATATTGTCCTCATGCTTTTTCAACTAGAAAAAAATCTTTTTTCAAAAAATGTAGGTCAAGAATATAGCATCAGCATGAACCAAATACAAGGTATCAACACAAGGGTTGTTTAAGAATATAATAATCTGTGTTTTCTAGCTTGTTTCATGTGCCCTTTCCTTTGGAGGATGCCTAAGTTGACTTCCCAGTAGAGTGTTGCTAACGTGAATGCTCAGGCTTCTTCCTCTCCATGTTACAAACCAGGCTGTTTCTTTGCAGCATCAATGTTGGTATTATTGACACTTTGGGCTGAATTAATTCTTTTGGCAGCAGGGGTGGGAGGTTGGGGGAAGGGAAACTGTCCTGTACACTGTAGGTTGTTTTACAGCATCTCCAGCTTTACTCACTAGATACTGTATCCCCATTTGTGAAAACCAGAAGATCCTAGACCTTGCTAAATGTGCCAGGGTCAGGGAACAAGCCCCCCATCTAATCCTGTTGATAATCATGGATTTAAAGAGGCCACTTGTTTCTTACACCTCTTAACCCTTCCCCACATTTTATAAATGTTTAATTTTCCACCCTTGTACTTGACTTTCACATTTTTCAGTTCTTTAGTATCATTCCGACAGGGCCATCTTTCTATGTCCTGCTTGAAGTTGTTTTACATTTCGCTTTAGAAATAGTTATGACAAATACATTTTACTGGTTGAATCTTGTCTTCAATTGGCAACAAATCTAACATACTTTGGAAGAATAGGCCAGAAGGATATATTGGTCTAATGAAGAGCCTTCTCCTTCACCCAGGACCTTGCAAATTCCCAGAAAGCTTATTATCATTTTGGATGTCTACAGACTGACATGTGATTTCTGCGGATGCTATTTGTGGTTCTTTTCAGTGCAATAGGTAGAAGGCATAGAAGTGCTTGCAAGCTATGATCCATGATATCACATACAATGGCACATGCTTTCTAGGTCTGAGCTGTAGGCAATGACAATGGGCTGACCTTCCCTTACTCAGGGGTCTGGCGCCTGACGAAATAATTACAAGGAAGGACGCTCAGAGGCACCACCTTCACCTGTATCCTCACAAATCAGAGTAAACAGAGTAAGGAAAGTTAAGAGCAGAAGTCACCTTCTTTTTAAACAAACTAATGCTACTTTTTTTCTCCCTGGCCAGGAGAAAGTAGAACAACCAATTCCTTGGGTTGAAATGGTTGGGCTTCATTTACAGTAATAGAATTTTGGAGTCTACAACCTTAACTAGAAGGAAATATGGATAATTACCAATAAGAGCTCTTGCGAATGGACTTGTCCTTTAAGTCCTCAGCTTTACCAAGCAATAAGCTAGTTGAGGGGACCGAGTGCAAAGGATGTTTGGTGCTAGAAACACCAGACTAGGGGGGCACAGTCTGCTCCCTCAGCCCCTCTAGTGGTATGCAGCCTTACTTGTTTCATTTTCTCCAGTTCATCTTTGAGAAGGAGGTTCTCCTGTTCCACAATATGAGTCTGTATTTTAACTTCAGAAAGTTCTGCTTCCAAAGAAGACACTAAAGTGGAGGACTGAGAGAAAAATAAAAACTCAGATAATAGACACATTCACTCAGGCTGGGGAGACAGACCAGGTTCACAGAGGGCAGTAAGTATGAAAGAAACAACGACACCAATTCAACCACAGGCTGCTTTATGAACTTTGTCCTTGTTTTTAAAGGAACTCACTAAAGCCATCTTAAAAGGCTTTCCTCTTCAATAACATGAATAGGATTCCTAAGGCAGTTTTTGTACATTTCTCCACTGTGGGGTTACTTTTTCTTGTCAGAAAAGCTTTTGAGGGCTGGGGATGTGGCTCAAGCAGTAGCGTGCTTGCGTGCGGCCCGGGTTCGATCCTCAGCACCACATACAAACAAAGATGTTGTGTCCGCCGATAACTAAAAAATAAATATTAAAAAAATTCTCTCTTTCTTAAAAAAATGGGTGAATAAAAGAAAAAAAAACAATCTTTCAAGTTTAAGAAAAAAGAAAAGCTTTTGAGATTATGAAATTTCTGTTTTCCAATTTTCTGCTTTATTAATGTCTGATTAGTGGATTTTGGCTACAATAATTATTACTTGGGTGTTTTGCCTAGGGATGATTTTCTGTTTTTGTCTTTCTACATTTTTTAATTACCATTCTGAAATGAATTCTGTAAATTCTCCCTATTTAATCAATTTTTATGTTAATATGGACTCAGGTATTTATTATAGTCTGTGTTTACTTTATTCTATTATATATCTATTTTGTAGATGACTTAATTCTTTTTTTCCTAAAATATGTTTCTAGTTATAAATGGACACAATATCTTTATTTATTTATTTTTATGTGGTAGTGAGGATTGAACCCAGTACCTCATTCATGAGGGGCAAGTGCTCTAACTCTGAGCTACAGCCCCAGCCCCTCACTGAATTCTTTTCTTCCCCAGTGTGGCTACATTCTGCATGCTGTTGGGCTCCTGTAGCGTTTATGTTCCATTTTGGTACCCTCCCCATCCCCACATCTTGAATGGATTCACTTATGCTTTTCTTGTGAGAGTACTGGAAGATGTAAAACAGTGCTGGGGATGAGCAGCTTCATGAAAATGAGTAGGTACATGGGTATTTTCTAATGTCTCCTTTCTCACATATGTGGAGGCACATAGAGATACTCTTGAATATTTTTTTCATGTAACATTGTGTTCTGGAAATTATTTCACATAGAGAGCTTTCTTATTTTTTTCTCGAACAGTTCTAATGTGGTATGGATGTACCCACCACATTTCCTCCACCACTCCACTGTGTAGGAGCATCTAGGTTGTTGGCACTATCTTGCAATTAAAAACAATGCAGCAATGACTAACCCTGTGTATATGACCTTTGATATTGTTGCAAGTATACCTTTAGGTTATATTCCTAGAAGTGAGATTGCTAGGCAAAATTTTGTTATTTATTGCCAAATTTACCTGTGCACTGATGATATAATTTTGCATTCTCACCAGCAATGTATGAAAATGTTTGTTTTTCCACAGCTTTTGCCAACAGAATATGTTGTCATATTTAAAAATTACTGCTGGTCTTTTAGGTGATAAATTACACATTAGTGTTGTTTAATTTGCACTTAACTAATTATGACTGATTTTGAACACTTTTTCATAGATTTGAAGACCATTTTTATCTCTTTTGTGAATTGTTTGTTCATATCTCTTTCCAATTTTGCTATCAGATTTTATATCCTTAATTTTTAAGAGTTCTTTACCTGTAGAGGTATGAGCTCTTCTCTCTGTAGTTATGTTGTAAATATTTTCTCCTACTTCGTCAGTTGTCTTTTGACTTTATATAAGTTTTTTTGCCATGCAAAATTTTTTTTCTTGTATTGCCCTGTTTTAGAGTCATAGTTGGCCTTTTTAAAAATGATAGTTAAAGACAAATTCACCCATCATGTTTTCTTTTAGTACTTGTACTGTTTTTTTTTTATATTTAGACTTCTAATACAATTAGAATGTATCCTTACATATGTTATGAAACATGGATCTAATTTTATCTATTTCCAAATGTCTATGCAGTTGGTCAGACATCACTTATTAAAATGAAGAAGAAGAAGAAGAAGAAGAAGAAGAAGAAGAAGAAGAAGAAGAAGAAGAAGAAGAAAATAATCCATCTTTACTCCAGCAGTTTGAGAAGCCACCTTTGTCACCTACTGTTATTTCTTGGCATGTGTGGGAGACTGGCTCCAGTACTCTCCACAAATACCCAAGCCCCCAGATAACCAAGTCCCTTACGTAAAATGGCATAGTATTTACGTATACCTATTCACATTCTCCTGTGTATTTTAACTCATCTCTAAATTACTTATAATACCTAGTAAAGTATAAATGCTATGTAAGTAGTTGTTATAATGTATTGTTTAGGGAATAATAAGAAGAAAAAGAACTCTGTTCAGTTCAGATGCAATTTTTAAAAAACAGTTTTGGTCAGAGGTTGAATCTATGGATGTAGAAACCATATATTAGAAGACTGACCATACTAGGTATCCATTAGTATTTGTATCAAATTCAAGACTTTCTAGTCCATTTATCTGTCTGGGATAGGGATTAATGTTCCAGTACCACACTGTTTTAATTATTATATTTATGCATAAAAAATTTAATACAAGCATTTCTTCTAGTTCTTGAGATTTCCTTAAAAAAAGGAAAAAGAGAGAGAGGGAGAGAGAAGTTGTAGGGTGGCTGCAGATCATACCTGCACTTTACAGTGTTCTAGTTCTTCTTTCAGATCAGACTTTTCTTGTTCCCATTCCTTGAATTTACTATTTCCTGGCTCTTTTTCCTTCTGGCATAGCATTGCTGCCAGACGTTGATTAAGTTCTTGCAATTCTTCCTGGTTTTGAGAGTTCTTTTGGCTAAGCTCTGCATTTTCCAAATCCAACTGTTGGTTTTTGATTTTTAAATCTGAAATCTAATTAAAATTGAAATACATTTTTAAAACTTGTTACCCTGCTTCTGCTAAAAAACAGATTTAGAAACTAATTCTTTTTTCCTTTCTATATAAAGTTTAAAAGTAAGTATAAATAATAACAGAAAAAATATGTACCCATTATTACAAATTCGGTCATTCGGAAGTGTATGAGACACAGCTTAATCCCATCCTTTAGGATGCTCTATTGTTTGCAACAGGATATGTAAACCACTAGATCATTTTCTATGAATACATATTTCTATGAATATATAAAACCCACATACACATAGAAATTCTTTTCTCTTTTTTAAGCAAAAAATTAGATCATTTCATGTTTGGATAGCCTGCTTTTTCCACTTATAATATCTTACAGATGCTTATGCTTTCCATGAGTGTTTGGAAATTATGTGTTTCTTCTTATGGTTATAGGATATCCCAAGTAGCAAGATTTTCCATAATGTATTTAGCCATTCTGCACTGATAGACATATAGGTTTGTTATAATTATTTCCTTTAATTATGAGGAAACAACCCATCTATATCTGGTATCATTTTACATTTAGGATAATATCTTTTAGAAGCAGGGTTGTTGGGTTAGAAGGTATACATAAACATTGTTGTTTTGATAGATGTCTCCCAAATCTGTTCTTCAGAGTGCTACCAATTTACAATCCTATTGGCAATGTATTTCTTGTTTCCTCACAACCTTTTGAATCCTAGATGATATCAACTTTTAATTTTTGCTAGTTCAATTGAGAAAAAAAGAAACTAATTTATACTTCCCTCATTATTTTGAGGATACCCATCTTTTATGTGTTGTATTATTTTTGTATAATTAGAGCATTCAAATTGATTACCTATTTTTCAACTGGGCTTTACCATTTTTCTACCTTTTTTTCTTTCTTTTTTTTTTTGTGGTGCTTGGGATTGAACCCAGAGTCTTGTGCATGCAAGGCCAGCACTCTACCAACTGAGCTATATTCCCAGCCCTGCTTTACCATTTTTGTAAGAGTACAAAATACATTTTGGATGTTAAAACCCTGTACATTTCAAGTGCTGATAATACTCTTTTCCCAGAATGTTCTCGTCTTTTGACTATTTCAGACATAATCTTAAATGTTCTTCACGTGCTCAACTACATGTTACAAGATTATATAAAATGAACATTGAATGGCACAAGCTATCTGAATAAATTATGATTCTGTGAAATGATATGCTGATTAGCTGGCATTCCATATCTGTGAAATTCTGTCCTTATCTTTCTGCTTTTAATCATGATGAGGAAAAAGAAAGGAACTAACATTGACTGAAGCTGCACAAGGTCTAGAGCTAGTATTCTAGGTGTACTTTAGAGGTATCCCAACTCCTGCTGGTTATAAAGCTTGCATTAAGCACACAGGATCTAGAAACAATATCTACATTATTTTCTAAACAGAAACCCAGTTTAGAGTCAATGAGAGGTGAGTTTCCATTTTTAAACTCAGAATTTACAACTTTACTATCATTAGCAATGTACTATTCTAGGAATATATTTAATTACTATAAATTTGTAAATTTCAAATAAAAAAAGGAAATTTCAGAATCAAGAAACATTGGGAAATACTGTTTCCTTACCTGTTTTTTTAAATTTTCAACCACCTTCTGAACTTCAGCTTTTTCCTGTTTTACAGTTTCTATTTTTTGCCTAAAGGAAAAATGAAAATTTAATTTGGGGGCTAGGCTTTAAAAGTTGAAGTTAAATAGTTTTTTAGTCCTTACAAAATGTCTTAAGAAAATTCAAATATACTCTGTCTTACCACAGTTCTTCCTGAGATCCACTTAATTTTCCTAATTTCAGGCTAGAAATGCTATCTTCTTCATTTAAAGTAGTAATTTCATTTCTCAAAATAGAATTCTCCTCTTGAAGCTTTTCAGATTCATATCTGAAGTACAGAGATTTTTTTAAAAAGTTATAAGGCAGTCATCTGGCATCTTTGGAAAATATTTTTTAGTAACTTCCAATAAAGTAAGTATTGCATGCCAGTTAAAAAGAAAAGTCTAAATTAGTGGTCTCCTGGTCCTTGGAAATCAAGTTTTGACATAATGATTTACTTCTTTTGGGAAGTAAGAATTTCACTAAAACACATCAGGGGAGTGTGGCTAAAAAAAAACTTGAGCATGGAGATGGGCATTGAGATTCAATATCAATCTGGTGGTTGATTTTCTCAATGGCAGGCATATTGCTTTGAACAAATGGCTTTATTTATCTCAGTCTCAAGGCCTCCCTGCTCTGAATAGACATAAACCAAATTACTAAGCTGTAAGAGTTTTAGTTTTATGCCCACAGGGATCTACAGAAAGAAATTTTACTACATTAATCAAAGGGCCACACTGAAATACGTATACTGTTTACTTTGAGATTCTATTCATCTCATTATATGCTGATGTTTTGAACTAAAATGGCCTGAGGAAGGAGAAACTATCTCAGAATTGTTTTGTTTTATACCATTAAGATATTTTAAACATGATGTAATATTTTACAAGATGTTTTTAGATACCAATTTTGCTAGAAGATTCATATTTCATAAAATCAAGTGGGCAATAGTTTACATTAGTTCTATCTTTGTTGCTACTCTTTAAGCATATTTATTAGAAACTAGGAGCTCCTTGGTAAGTATATGCTCTAAGATAAATTTCTATTGTTTTTTGAATATCAACATGCACTTCAAGTTATCTAAGTGAAAAACTATAAGCTACAAAACATCTTTCCTATATTAGTATAAGAATTTTTAATCTACCAAGAGAGTTAATAATACACAAAAGCCATTCATGCTCATATAACGTGTTTCGTCAAAATTAGGAAAGTAATTGACATTGAGCAAAATAATAGCTATCCATCCAAATAAAGTAAGTGCTAGACAAGAGGTAAAGTTGTACAGTGGTGATGCATGTGGTTAAACAGCAAACACTCGCCATTCTGAACTTTCACACTCCATATGAACACATTTATTTGCTACAAGGAAGAGAATGCCTCCAAGGCAAGGTTATTTGTTAATATGACACAGAAGCAGAAGGAAGTCTAGGGTACTGCTCTTTTCTTGAAGACTAACAGGTTAGTTTCTCTATGTACGGAAAGCAGTGCAAGTTAGATTCGATCAGGTGCTCTGTGGGATTCCGTGAAGTCTAGAATGTACATACGTTACCTCAGAAGTTCAACTTTCTGCTGCATCTCACTGCATGTGATTTGCAAATCATGCATCATTGCCTTCAGCTCTTCCTCCTTCTCTGCCTGAGAAGGTACATCTTTCTGCTTAACTAAGGTAGTGACTCTCTCCCTTAACTTTCTAGTCAGCTCCTGTAGCTTCTGTTTCTCCAGTTCTAACTCTGCTATTGTGGCCTGACGCTGAACATGTTTATCTTGAAGGCCTAGGAGAACAGGGCTTTCCTCCAGTATAACTTGAGTCCCACCTCTGGAATTTTCTTGATATGTCTGAACTGTTCCATACACCTGAGGGATTTCATGTGCTTTTACTTTTTTGGAGATTCGCGTTCTGCCCTGCTCAAGGCCCTGGTTTTCTTGGTTGCATTCTTCTAAAATATGGCATGCCCTCAAAACCTCAGGCACACACTCTTCCAGCGTCTGATTGAGTTCAAGTACCTTCTCATCACACTCGACCTTCAAGTTGTCTGAACAGTCTTCCCACAAGGAGAAGGAGCCACACTGCAAGGCTGCTCTTTCCTGCAGTTTTTTAATCTTCCCTTGAAGCTTCAAAACCAGAACGTTTAGCTCCTCGTTTTCTGTTTTGACCTCATCATAACTCTTCTCCAGGCTAAGGAATGTTTCAGTCACTTCTTCCACTTTCTTTAGCTCATCCTGCAACCTGAAAACCTCCACAGTGAGCTCTTTGTTGTTCTCCAGAGCCTCCTCGTAGCGTGTCTCCATCACTCTCAGCTCTTCCTGGAGGCAGTCATTTTCTCTGCTTGCATCTTCATATAGCAGCTTATACTTGGGAGAAGCCTCAGGGATTCTCTCAAGCATTTTTAGTTTCTTTTTTAGCACAGAAACATCAAAAAGCAGGTCCTGTTTCTTTTCGGAAGCTCGGTCACAATCTGCGCGTAAGATCATTAGTTGCTCCCGAAGCTGACTAATCTGATTCTTCAGGTCCCAGGATTCGGTCCTGGTCTCTACACTGTTTTCTAGCTCAGAAAAACTCTCTATGGAAGCTTCAGACTCCTCAATTTTGACCTCCTGTCTCTGAACAGAGCTTGTCGCAGTACTCCCCAGGTCCTGGACCTTATCATCTTGCAAGTCACTTAGCCTGCATGGTGCAGTTTCACCTTTTTCTTGCTTCATTTGGTTTGGGGATGAAAATGATTCTGTCTGTTCCACAGAATTTCCAAAAAACTCAGTAGTTGGCTCCTCTAAACAAGATGACATCACCGACCCTGGCTCTAGTCTTTGCAGCCTCTGCTGCAATCTGGAAATCTCAGAAGCCATTTTCACATTTTCCTTCACTGCGCGTTCATGAGCTCTCTGCAAGCTTACAAGGACATCTCCGTTTTCTTCCAACAGCTGTTCCCCTTGCTGAAGCAGGGACATGGTCCCATTTCCTTCCTCCTCATCTTCTCCTGTTGTTTGACAGCTACCCTGAAGCCTGGAGAGAGGATTTGCTGCCTGCTGCATGTCCTTAATTTTATTTTGCAGTCTGGAGATTTCTGTGCTCATCTCAGCCCTCTCTCGATCTGCTTTCTCACAGGTCACTCTGTGGATGGTCTCCATGGCCAGAAGCTTGGCCACCATCTCCTGCCTTTCCTGTTCACGTTCCATTTGTAACTGTTCAAGCTGCTGGCTGGCCAGCTGTTCTGAGGCACCTGCCTGGCAGAGGACCTGCTCTCGGTCTCTCAGTTCTTTTTCGTGACTGCTCTTCAGCTCAAGTATCTGATCAGACAGTAGATTTTGCTGACTTTCAGATATATTCCGTAGGTCTTCCAGGTCCTGGAGCAGTTGCTGTCTCTCTAGGACCATGCTGTTTAAATGTTCTTTGTATGTCTTCTCCAGCATCTCTCTCTCCTGGGACAGGACCAAAGAAGTTGCTTTCTCCCTCTGAAGAGTCTTCTTAAGCTGCTCCTGGGCTTCTGCATACTCTTGGGTGAGCTCATCCTTCTCAAACTGCCACTGAGATTTCTCCTCCAGTTGCTGTTCTAGAAGGTCCCTCAGCTCTTTGCTGTAGCGCCCCTCTAGGCTTTGCAGAGCATTTTCACATCTCTCAGTGACTTTCTGACAGTCAGCCTGAAACTGGGCTTCTATATGAGAAGTTCTTCTATTATACTCTGTTTCCATTTTTTCCCTAAATGTGGTCAACATACAGTATTACTGAAATTGCCACCAACTCCAGAAACAAACAAAATACATTTTTCCATGCATAGAGGAGGCTGCCAAGCAAACAGTTAAAATTCTTTCTAAAAATGTTCTTAACTTATTCCTCCATGTTTCATGTGTACTGGGAGGAATCACATTTCTAAAAGTTAAGAGTGGCAACTACAATTAATTTGGAAGACAGCTCTCTCTGAAGTTAGGAGAATATTTATGAAACCAAATTCTTTGGCATAGACCTGGATGTACTCACAGATTTTTAAACCAAAGTCTTAAACTGGTATTTCATAGGAAATGATGAAATATGTATTGACCTAACCCCTAACTTGGGAAATATATAACACTGCTTCATTTTAATTAAACATGCATTGCAGGATATTAGTCACTTAAATCATACATATTAACAAATTCATTTTGGGTTTGTTTCTTATTTAATAAAACAGCAGTATGTCAGGGAGTGAAGCACCAAAGCCCTCAAATGAACTGGGATTTCACAGAAGGAAGGCGAGCACAAATTGTCATTTCGTAACTCTGGGAAGAAATGTAAGGTCATAAACAGCCTTTCTTAGAAAGCAACAGAACCAAAGTAGGAAGAGACCACATTTTGGATCATCTTATCTTCATCTGGAGCCTTAGAAGATAGATTTTAATACCAGAACCACTTTCCTGTTTTAAAAAAAACAAATAGTTCCAATACTCTCCAAGTTAAGCTTAGGTGTAAACAAGGGCAAATCAGTTGAAAATTTTAAGAAGAATCTATACAACCCCTGGGCTACTCTGCCCTCTGTTTTTTCCAGGCCTCCTTCACTGACTGGAGCTTCTGATGCCCTGAGGGGATGCGCCTGGGTTGCTTGGCTCCCCTCACATCCTTACCTTCCCTCTTGAAGTTCTCTTTGGTGCTTCTCCAAGAGCTCTCTCCTCAACTCCTCTTTCTCAAGAGTGTGCTTCTCCACCAGGCTTGTCAGCTGCTCCTGGTGAGACTGCTCTAGGTCCTGAGTCAAGCCCCTCACCTTGTCCTCCGTCCAGGTGCTACTCTGGATGAGTCCTTCCCTCTCTTGGCTAAAGCCTTCCTCCGCCTGCTGCAGTCGGGCCTTGAGCTCCAGCTCGTGCTCCAGCCTGAGCTCCTCCCTCAGGCGAGCCTTCTCCTCATCCCATGTCACCTGCAGTTGCCTCTTCTCCTCCTCATGCTGGCAGCAGGTCTCCCGGTGCACCTCCTTCAGTGCCATGACCTGCCCCTGGAGTTCTGCAATTTCACTTTGAAGGTCATTTATTTGTTTTTCCAAGGTGTGCATGCCATGCTCGTACTTCTGCTTCATGGTCTCCTGCTCCTTTTCACAGGTGAGCCTGGTCTCATCCAACTGCTTTTCATATTGGCGCACCTACAAGCAAGACAGGAAACCACCACAAGATTGTTCAGCTCGAGGCCATGGAAAGGAATGTGATGGGGGCAGCAAGTGTTTTGTTCTATAATCATTTCTGAATTTTCACATTATTTGAAAATAACTTATTTCAAACACCTTAAATAAGATATCTAAGTCTGGCATAATTTGTTTTTTTTTTTTAAAAAAAACTTGGTTAAATTATACTAGTTTCTGAGCAACTCTATTAAGAACTGGGAAGACCCTCACACATAGATACTCTTTGTCTTCCTATGAGTCCTTTCCAACTGAAAACTTAAGGTCTTAAAATATTTAATTAATTCAAATATTTATTGGTACTACAAGGTACCCTGCAAGCCTCAAGGCAACATAAAATCGACTAAGACATAGTTCCTGCCATTGAAGAGAAACTAGTCTGGACATGGATAAAACAAGTTTACAAGGCAGAACATCAAATATAAAAATCCTAGAAAAAAGAACTACAATGTAGCATGGGGAGTTAGAAAAAGAGAAAAATCAAATTTGCTTAGAAAATTCTGGAATGACTTCCTCTAAGAGGCAATATTTGATGCAAACTCTGGAGGGTAAGTAGACTTTCAAGAGGCAAAAAGCAGTAATAACAGCACAGTTTGTAATAGTGTGAGCTAAAGGGGACAGAGTTTAATGGAGAACCACAAACCACCCAGTTTGGCTAGGGGATAAGAACTTGCATGGTAACAGAGAAGACTGGGAATGTAAATGGAAGTCCCAAGGTGACCTGTTGGGAGGCCAAGGATCATAACCTATACTTAATTTAGCACATAATGCTACATCAAAGGGTTTTTTAATTAAGATGTTGAAGTTTTTTTTTTTTAACAAGTTGAAATAACACAATAGCCTCTGAGCTTCATGTTCCATGCTTGCAGGGATGAGTATATTATATTTTAGATAAACTCTCTCAGGAGGAAAAGGGCTTGCCCTCAGCCTGAGGAAGTAGGCTTCTGGTAGCCACCAGACATAGGGAGAAATGCATAGAAAGTCCTGTTGTGTGAGAAAGACTTGGGAAAGCCCCACATGAAAATGGTTGTCAGAGATTAAAGAAATTAGGGATCTGGGTTGGTAAGAGAAACTTACCTTGTCTTCAAGCTCCAGTCTTATGTGACACAAGTCCCTGTGATGTTGTTCTTTCATCTGTTCAATGACCAGCTCAGCCTCGATGCTCATATTGAGTGGATTACATTCTTCAGAACCCAGTCCTAAAAACACAGGGGACCCTCTGATCCTGTGGCAGGTTCTTTCAATGACACAATCTGGCATCTGAGGAGGGACCCCCAATTTACCTAAGGCATAACTTTCAGCCTAAATTTCCCCAGATGTGAGCTACTGGAAAATAAGAGAAGCCAAGAGAAGTCTCTTCTCTTTTCAAACATTAGGGCAAATAAGACACTAAGATGAACAGATTCTTTCATGTATTGGCAATGTACCAACCTTAGCAGAATATACCTTTTTAAACAGTAGGTAGACATAGGTGTGGAAATTACTGCTTAAACATGACCTCCTCCTAATAAAAATGGTATGTGGTGAGGAAATAGCAGGAGAAGTTTGGCCAACCAGCTTTCTATCCATCCAACAACTACTGAATGACAAACTGGCACAAGGGCAATGTGGCTGGGGGGTGAGTGGCCAGCATACTTGCTGCCAGGCTTTGAGGAGTAGACTTCTTGAGTCAGGATGTTCAGCTCATCACTCAATAAAAAGGAATACTTGGTGTCACTGAGTTTCCTGTTGATCCCCCTCTAAAATTATTGGCTGAAAAATAGGATATAATTTGGAACCTGGATATAGGCAGGGTTTTTTTTTTTTGGGGGGGGGGGATGGTGAGGGTGGGATTCACAACTCCACCGTGTGACTGTACCTCTGAAACTGCCCATGATGACTGATGAGAACATCGAGAAGGTAAAGACTAAGTCGAAGGCTGAGCTAGTGCCAAAACACTGTGTGTCTACAAAACAAAGTCTACTATTAGGTAGCAATCCCTTAAGGCAGGGAAGCCCAAGATAGTTTTTCATGTGGGAATATATAGGCAGATGGGAGAAAGGGACCCCTCTTGGGTTGAGACCTCACAGCTAGGATTGACAGTCTTAACCTGGGCTTCCAATCATATGGCATATCCCCAGCTGAGAATCAACACATGGATATAAACCACCCAAAGATGGCCACCCGTGAAGAGCACAACCCAACAGCTGGATGGAAAAGCTGCTGAAATGTATCATATAGTCAGGTGGTCTCCACCCTTGACTAGAGTATATAGGCCAAAATTCAGAGAAAAGGGCTGAAGACCTCTTCCACTCCCCTCCTCTACCCCCTGCTGATTCTACACTAAGTAGGTGAGGGAAGGAATGAACCATTTTGTGAGAAAAGTACTTTCACCCAAGTAGCAGAGAGGAAAGCTATTTATAACAAAAGAACTGATTTTGAGCCGTTTCTGAAATCTGAACTCAATGCATCTGAGCAAAAAGGCAGGCTATCAAGATGGGGGAAAGAGCCAGGAGTGAAGGTCGGATGGTTCCCAAACAACTCTGACTTCCAACCTTGCCCCTGGAAATTTTCCTCAAAGGCACAGGCGACCAACCCTTATTTATCTTATTTGTTGTTCTGCAGAAGCCACAGAGGCATTTAGCATAGCCAGCATAAGAAAACCAGTTACAGATTCTGTGGTTTGCGGTTGGCTCACCCTCCAAAACCATCTTCATACCAGCCAGGCACTCTCAGAGAAAGGATTCAGCAATGGCTCTGTGTCTGAATTCTAACACTCCAAAGGCATGGGTTCTTAGATTTGCAGTCAGTTTGTTTGTTTTAAACAAAGCAAATACTTTAGTGTTTTGATTTTTTTCATTCCTTTGTTGATACATATAAAAATCAGATGGACATATTCTCATACAGACTTCAACGATAAGTGAAAACCTGACCGCAAGTGAAATAGCTCAAAATGAGAATTGACAAAGGCTTTTTTCCCTTCAGATTGCCAGTTTTGCAATTTAACATTCAGTCACAGTTCTTGCAAAGATTAAATGCAAAGACTCTGAAAAGATAATGTCTGAATGTGTTTACCCTGGTCAGGCTCAATGCCGCCACTATTAACATCAAGTTCTTCTGACAGCGAGTTCTTCAAGGGAAGCCTGAATGCTTTTCCTTGTGCACGGTACTCTTCTAGCTCGGACTGGAGTTCATCCACTTGGTCTTGTAATACCTGGGGTTTAAAAACCCACACAGGTCTTAGAAGTGACACCAAAATACAAGCAACAACAACAACAACAACAAACAGATGAATTGGACATCATCAAAATAGACACTTTTGTGCTTCAACAGGCACCATCAAAAAAGTAGACAACCCACAGAATGGGAGAACAGTTTTGTTAATTTCATATCTGATAAGGTACTTGTAACTAGAATATATAAAGACTATTACAACTCAATAATAAATATAAGGAACTCAATATAAGAATATAAATATAAGAAATGGGCAAAGGACATAGGATCCTTTAAGATATCTTAAGAAATTTCTTAAGATACTTCCCCCAAGAAAATAAACAATCAGTAAGTATGTAAAAAGATCCACAAAATCATTAAACTATTAGAGAAATGCAAATAAAAACAATGAGGGGATGTCACTTCATGCCCACAAGGATAGCCAAAATAAAAATGATGCAGAATAATAACTGTTAACCAAGATACAGAGAAACTGGAACTCTCATACTGGTGGGAATGCAAGATGGAAGAGATTTGCCAGTTTCTCAAAAGGTTAAACACAGAGTTACCATATGACTCAGCAGTTCCACTCTTATGTATATGCCTAAGAGAAATGAAAATCTATGTCTTCATAAAAATGGGCACACAGATTTTCATAGCAGCATTATTCATAAAGCCCTCCAAAACTCAAATGTCCATTAACCAATGATAGATAAACAAAACACAATATATCCATATGATAGAATGTTATTCCAACATTAAAAGGAATAAAGTACTGAAACACTTAACAACATGAATGAACCACGGAAACATCATGTTAAGTAAAGGGAGCCAGTCACAAAGGTACACACATTATCTGATTTCATTTTTTGTGAAAAGCAAAGATTAGGCAAATCTACAGAAAGTAGAAAAGTAATGGTCTAGGGCTAGTGATCATGGGAGTGACTGTGGCTAGGTAGATCAGGGATTTCTTCTTGGGGTGAGGAAAATATTCTAAAATTGACTGTGGTGATGGTTGCCCAATTGTGTGGATATAATAAAAGACATTGATTTGTACATTTTAGATGGGTGAAATATATGGTATGTAAAGTTGTTTTAAAAAGTGAATGGACTGGGATGAATTTTATTGATGAATTCATTACATTTAAAGACGTTGAAAGCAAACAGTCCATTTGATTAGGACCAAGAGCTGTAACTTAATTATAAAAGCAGAAGAAATGTTTCTTTTCTCAAAAGTGCACGTGCACCTCCTGAGAAGGCAGCCCAGAAACAAGCTCATCAGGAGGGATCTGCTTTCCCCACCTCTGCTCAAGTGCAATTTTTATCTAAAGCAGGTAGAACTCAGTTAACCTTGTTAAAATAGACTAGTATTTCTGGTTTAAGGGGGGAAAAAAATCCCAAATTCCTAAGCTTATGGAAGTTAATTTAGGAAAATAAAAAGAGATTCCTCTAAAAGAGTGTTTTTATCTCTCCTGGTAGGTATTGGGAATGGTTTATTATAGAAACACTTGAATGGTTTCTGCTTCATTTGTTTTGTAAAAAAGGAACTTATTCAAAAATTAAAAAAAAAAGAAAAAAAAAACCAGGACAAAACTAAATTACGCCACATTAGGCTGCAATGATCAATCAGGAAAGGCTAACTTTGGAAAAAGCACATCAACATGGCAATATCATATTCCTCCACTCGGCTTAAAATTATATTTTCCTCTAAGCACTAGTAACTTCTGATCTAGATAAAGCAGACTTAAATGCAGTTTGCAGATTCCCTGATGCAGGATATTGACTAACTATATATATATATATATATACATATATATATATATATATATATTTTTTTTTTTTTTTTTTTTAATTTGTTCTAATTAGTTTTACATGACAGTATAATGCATTTGACTCATTGTATACAAATGGAGCACAACTTCTCATTCCTCTGGCTGAACACTGACTAACAATATTAATAGCCAACTTCCATGTAAGTGCTCTGCACATTGGCTCGTTGAATCTTCTCAACCACCTGATGAGTAGGTAGGTACTCTTGTTTTCACAGCCCTCTAGAGGAGAAGGTGAGGCACCCACAGGTTGAAGTGACCTATTCATGGTCATATAGCCAAGAAGCGGTGAGCTGGGATTTGCATGCATGCCCCCCTCCTGCACTCACGTGTTCTCTCCAGCCACTCACCCTGCACTGCTGCTCATACTCATTTCTCTTCTGAGTCAGCCTTTCTTCTTGCAGAAAGAATTCAGCACTGCTGGGATCTAGGTCACCAAACTAGAAGGTGAAAGGGCAAAACTGTCATTTTCCCCAAATGCCCTTCTTTGACCTATCACATACCAGTTTCTGTGTCACCCAGGCTCTTGAGCATGAGAGGAATGCAGTATTTAAGCAGAAACATCATCAACCAGAAGACAGGGAGAACATACGAGAACAATGTGTTCAACTCAGGCAGGGATGACTTCTTGGTGGCAGGCAATGTTTTCCTTCATAACCACTCACTAAATTATATCCCTGCAAAGTTACAACTTCTTTTAGGTACCCAAATAATTCCCTAATAAAAATGTTCTTGGCATTGCTTCTGCTCTTTTGAATAAAGACAGACACATTGGGCAGCCCATCAGGAAATCAGATTTAGACTGATTTACCTTTTCAGCTAACACATTGTCCAAATTTCGCTGAAGTTTGTTTGTCAGATTCTCATACTCTGCCAACTTCTCTGCATTTTCCAGAAGCTCATTTTCCAGGCGACTGTTTTCCTGAAGAAATTTAGGGAAATTAAATATGGCACAGATTAAGAAATAAGCAAACTGTTGTATCATTTTATATGAAGCATAAGTCAGTGTTCTCGATTAAGAAAATTTGCCCATCTTGAATGGAAATGAAAATAAACACAAAAAAGTTGATATCTAAATCACAGCCCAAATGTCTGCCCTTTTTAAAAGAAATCTCATAGAACACGGTGTCCAATATGTTAGCCAATAACAATCACATGTAAATACTGAGTGCTTGAAATATGTACAAAGATGAGTCGTAAGTGTAATATATACACTAGATTTTGCAGAGCACAAATATATATAAAATAGGTCAGTAATTTTTTTGTATACTGATTGCAATTTAAAACAATGCCTTCGAGATATTGGACTAAATGAAATGATTTGAAATGAATTTTACCTTTTAATGTGGCCATTTGTAAATTTGAAATTACATATCTGGCTTGTATTCTATTTCTACTGAACAGCACTGCACTAGAGTATTTTTTGAGGATGTTTATTATACTTATTAATGCATATGAATTAAATAAGTGGGTTTCACTTGTAGTGAAACTTCGTAAATTAAATGAAATATTCTCAATGTATTGTCCAATGAAGGAAAACTTGTTACAAAGTAATTTGTCCAGCCACCAACAAAAGAGAACTCAGAAAAACTAAAAAAATTAGAGTAACTCTAAAATCAATTTTCATTTACTGGTATTATAGTTTGATTTATAAATTAATTTTGGTTTAAGGATGTAAAAGCTATACATTTACGTGGTTCATATTTATACATTTTTTAAGTTATAATAAGATAATATCAACCAAAACTCACAAAAAGTTTTATTTAATTTAAAAGGATCTGTACATAAAGTACTTTTTAGAAAGATTTCTACTCACATTGAAAAAAAAAACAAAAACAAACCACCAGACATGCTATTTGACATATTTTCTTCTCCAATGGTAAAGACTGATTGGAAGAATGTTATTTCCAAAGCACATTTTGCCAAAAGAATATGGAGCCAGTATATTTTTAACATATTCTTGTTCACACCCTCACATAGCAATATGGAGTAAAGAAAAAAATGTACTTGAAGCATTTAAAAAAAATACTACCTTCCCCTAAAAATGCCAGTTCTATACTCTAGCCTTTCAAAGTGTACCTAAACTTATGATGCTAAAATAATAAGGAACAATCTTTACCTATCAGGCACTGTTCCGGTACTCTGAAAGATGCCCAATCAGACAGATACTGACTACAGGGAACAATCAGGAGCTCAGGAAGAGAAGCAGATATGGATACAACTATGATGCAAGAGTTAATTGCACTATGAAGACACAAGAGTAAAGGTAATGGGAATGAAAAGGTACAGCCCACAGTATCAGGGAAAACAGTGAAGGAGCATAAAAGTGTTCTGTCTCTGAGTGCAGTGGGGTAGGGGCATGGTTCTGGGAGTTGCTGGCAGGAGCTGAGGCTAGAAAGGTATGAGGATGGGAACTCTTTTAGTGGCCTCAAATATGAGCACTTTTTTTTTCTTTTGACAAAGACTATCAGCATGATTATAACTGATCTTTACGGTAACTGATGGCCATATGAAGGTAGGAGAGATGGGGAAAGAACTGTTAGGGCCCATATAATCAGCTAAGAAATCATGATGAATTCAGAGTCTAATCAGAGGCTAGGGAAATGCAGAGGAAGGAGATAAATCTGAGAGGCATTTCAGAGCATCAATACAACTTAGAAACTGATGAGTGATGATGACTGAGAATTTTAACTCCTGGAACTTATAGTGCATGGTGATGACATTGATTAGGGAGAAAATTCAGGAGTTGAAAGAACTGCATGATTAGGAGTCATAATTGGCTCAGTTTTTGATGTATGGAGTTTCAGGAACATTTCATAACAGCAGCGGTAGCATTTCCAAAGTACTTATTTTCCAGATACCATACACATATCATCTGATATAACCCCCACTTCAAAGGGTAAATGTTATTATGGTGCCCATCTGTACATTAGGAAACAGTTTGAGTAATTTCAGCTAAGTATACACTGACACCCATGTTTGAGCCATGCCGTCTGACTCTAGAGCTCCTGCATCATATTTTCTGTGTGAGTCCAATAAAGAGAAGGAATGTCCACTCCTCCACCAAGAGAGAGGAAAGCGGGGAAGACAAATGAGAGAAGAGGCACATATGGAAGCTAAACAGAAACTCAGAGGCCTCTGTGTGGCAAGAGGTAAGTTTATCTGCAGAGAACAAGGTAGGTGGGCAGAGAAGGGGAAGTAGGACCTGAAGATACAGATAGGCTAAGAGGACCAGATACTTGAATGAGGGTGTCAGTTAAGTGCCCAACATCCCTGAGGACCCAATACAACACTATCAGCACACCAGAAGCCTGCATAACCCTGAAATCCAGGTCCTAGCAGGGTCCCTGCCATGTCTGGATCATGACATGGTGGGGCAAATGTATCAGAGTGAGCCCTGTGTGGACTAGCCCTCTCAGAGCTAAAGCTTTGCATGTGGCAAATGCAGAAGGGATCCCAGCCTTTAAAGAGATTACCTTTAAAGAGAGGGCAAGGCGGTCCCGAATGTAGTTCTCCTCTGTTTTTGCCTTTTCGATTTCCTGTTCGAGTTCCAAGCGCTGCTTGCCCACCTGCTGCAGGATCTGCTCCCTCTCTCTTCGGAGTTCATTTTTTAAGGCTGCTATACGTTCCTTGTACTCTTCATCTAGTTTTCTGTAAGGAGGAAAAATTGACAAGCATCCATCAGATCCCCTGGAGTTCCCTACGTGGATCTATCAACATTGGAAACAGAGTTAATGAGATTGGAAGCACTTTTGAGAAAATGTCTAATGTGTCTTGCTTTCCTTGAGGCTTGACCACATCTAAATCTCTGCAGCCAGATGTGGCCCAACAGGCAGGCAGGCAGGCAGGCAAAGCATCCCTTGCTCTGTTCTGGCCCTATGCCTGGCAGGTGGGAAAGGATCTGGCCCTTGCCCAACCATTCGCACCTAAGGTTGTACTCATTCCGCCGCTCTATGGCCGCATGGTGATCATCCACTTCCGAAGCCATTAGTGACTTAAGTTTCTCAGCCTTGTCCAGGTCTGACCGTAGTTTCTCTTTTTCTCTGACCACTTGATCAACTCGTTCCCTAGAATCAGAAATGCACTGAGTTAACAGAAAACTATTTCTAAGCAACAAGTAGACCCCGAAGAGCTCTTATCTGGCTTGCTTAATACAAAAACAAAACCAAGACAACCAAACCCCACCCCAAACATAAAGCTTTTCCATAGTTCCCTTCAAAAGCCTACATGCCAGACTAAGTTCCACCTCATTTTCCTACAGTTTAAGGAAGATCTGTGCAACAGATATGGAGGACTAGTCACATTATGCACACAGAATGTAAAACTGTTTACCGGACTTGTTGGACAGGTGGGAAAGGGAACGGAACAGGAGAACTCGACTTACAACAAATGCCGGATCTCAGCCTTAAAGCTGGCCAGAGCTGCCTGGTGAATGCTGTTCTTGGTAACCAAAAGTTCATTTTCAAGAGCTAGTGTCAATTCTGTCAAGTTGACATTTCCATCAAGGCTGAAATCCAAGGCCTGGAAATCAGAACATAGCACAATTTCAAGACAAACCATAGATCTACCTTCTGAAAGCAAAAAATGTAAAGGTTACATAAACTTGGAGAACTGAATACAGCTTAGATATTGGGCAATTATATTTCTTTAGAGACTACTTCAGAATAATCTTCAATCCAGTTCAGAACAGTTTTTTCCTAAAGAAAATATAACATGTTTATTTGTTTCTCTTTAAAAAATACTGATACTATAAATAAACACAAATAATAGAGCTCTCATCTTTACCAGCTAGAGATCAGTTAAGCATATTTCTCATGTCAAAAACTCTGGGGTTAAAATTATGGAAAGTAGTTAGCAACAGGGGGTAGGAAAAGTTACCTCTTATCTGAGAGCTTGTGAACAGAATAATCATTAAAGATAAATCACAACGAATCAAGAGTTTCAAAAAAAATTGAAAGTTTCCAAGATTTGCTATTTTTCCTCCCATTTTAACTGCCACACCTTTAGGATCTCCTGGCTGTTCTCAATGCCCTCTTCCTGCCAGGTGTCGAGTATTCTCTCTACAGATGCATGGCCCATCCCATCATCCAGGCAGGAGAAGACCCGAAAGCCAATGGTACTCGTCATCGCCGATGGGGTTGTGGTACGACGTCCACTCTCATCAAAGGACTAGAAAAGAGAGACTTCAGCAAGCTCAGCTGGACTCCAGGCATTTCAACTAGATGCTGGTCAAGACTAAAACTGGTCAGTGCTGACCACAGAGAGCGGAATTTAATTTGTGCTGCTAGGAAAAAATACTTCATGCAGTGCCTTTGATCTCTGTTCCCAGGTGAGCCAAGACTACAAAGCTTATCAAAAACAACTATTTTTGACATAGATGGGCTGTCTCTCTATTTAACACCAGGTTTCTCTGACCCCGAGTTGACATCAAGAGACATAATTAGTGGCCTTCCCACTCTGTAATTTATGGTCATTTCTCAAACCCAAGTTTTCTTCCTGACAGGTTAGTCTTTCTTATTCTCCTTTTGCTTTGCGCTCTCTCTTTGGCATTTTACTTCAGACAACAGATTAATTAATTAGAAATTACTAAGTGGGTTCTAGCTTTCACTTACAAAGAAAAAGCTTACCTGCATGGAGAGGTGCCTTTTCAGTTGTCTGTAAGGAGTAGAGGCTGACGGTGTAAGGGATTTTCCATTTTTAAACAAGCCATAGAAAAAATCTTCTACACTCATTGTGCCATTGGGATCAAGATTATGAAATACTTCTTCAAGCATCTGAAAGAGAGTCATCACATATTTTAGATGCTTCACCGAAAATAACATAAGGCCCAGGATCTACTTCTGGCCAACAGAAATCAACACCACTGTTGATTCTAAGACTCTAGAAATATAATTATGTCCTTTTACTCTTATTTGAACTAAATGCACTTTCCTTTCCAGTACTGATATACCTTCTCCCTCACACAAACTAAATAAAATTCCATTTTCAACATCTCCATAATTTAATAGAATGTAGCAATTAACTTTCTTTACTCCTAGAGTAGGCAATCTTTAATGAAGCCATGTACTTGCAAATTAAAATTTTACTTAAAAAATAAAGATTTAGCTTTACAGCATTATAATAGTAGAAATTAATAGGACATTCTTCACACCTGCAAACTGTGGTGACTCTAAGTGACATTTGGCTTATATAAAAATTTGAAATTGGCTCACTAGCACAGCATAATTTGGTCTGGGAGAGATCGTAATAACTTAAGAGTTCGGGTCTGAAACCCATACTTGGAGGTTAGAACCTTACTTGGAACAACACTGTATGTGCTGGAATTTTGTTTTAGCCCAGAAGAGACAAAGATTTGGTGAGACAGGTTTTGTGTGTGTTCCAAGAGATAAAAGACAAGGAAGCTTCAACTGACTCTTACACCCTCTGTGAATAATCAAGTGGTCCTCATCATATAACAAGGACCCCAGCCCCATTCAGAGGCTTGCCTTGGAGATGGTCTGTTCCTTAGCCTCACAGGCAAGGGGAAGGGGAACAGAGCAGTGTGCATCATTGCAGCCCCAAGAAACGGTTTAAAGGCAAAGATCTCCTATTGGAAGTCAGTGTCCCTTTATTTTATGGGGTAGGTTTTTTTTTTTTTTTTTCTAAAGGAAAACACTTCCCATGAACAAAATAGAAATCACATGGGGTTCTTATTAAAATGCAGAGTTTTCTATAGTAAGTCTGAGGGAGGGGCCTGAAATTCTGCATTTCGAACAAGCTCCTAGGGGAAGCCCAGGTCACTGAGTAGCAAGATTCAATAAACAACAAATTTATTCTTGTGGCCTTAAAACTTATAACTAAGTCCATTCTAACATAGGTTTAAATTCTCTGTGACACATCCTCAAATTTTTTAATATTCATTTCTTAAATCTGAACTATTGCTATGATTTGTGTCATCTCATGATTGATGTTGTTCTTTATGTAAGTGCTGGAGGCATCTCTTTTATCAATGCTCCCCCCTACACCCCTCACACCAAATAGGAAACATCTGTCTCCATTCTGGAGAGGACTCTGAAACAAGGAAACTATTCTAAAGGGTGGAAATCTTTGGAACAAGTAACAGTTTCTAACAGAGAATCTAGTAATCAAATCCATGGAAAGGCATTTAGGACAAGCTGCAGAGGCTGCCAACATCCCTTAGCATTTTGGTCTCATTTTCATCAACCAAAAGAACACTCTCCGATATCAGTATGGAGGATCCTCCAAAAACTAAAAACAGAACTACCCTATGATCCAACTACACCACACCTCAGCATTATCCAAAAGTGTCAAAGTCAGCATACTATAGTGACACATGCATTCCCATGTTTAAAGCAGCACAATTCATCATAGACAAGCTACAGAATCAGCCTAAGTGTCCTTCAACAGATGAATGGATAAAGAAAATGTACATATAGTGAATGGAGTTTTAGTCAGCCATTTGCAGGAAAATGGATGAAACTGGTGAATATCATGTTAGGCAAAATAAGCTAGGCTCAGAAAGACAAGTTACTACATATGAAATAAGACATGTGGAATCTGGAGGGAATAAAGGGTATCTCATGAAAATGAAAGGAAGAGGAAGAGGATCAGGGGGAAGAAGAAGGGGAGGGCAAGAGAAAGTCCCGGGGACTAAAATTGATCAAATGCATAAACAAATATGCCACAATGAAAACCATTGTTCTGTATGATTAATATGTGCCAATAAAAAATATATATGTGTGTGTATTTATTTATTTATTTTTAAGAACACTCTCCTGTAGGAGGAGAAGGAGGAGGAGGAGGCTTTCAGAACCACCAAACCAAAAGTTATGATGAAATCCAGGCGCCCTGGCTGAAGCTAGCAAGGCACATTTTACCTTAGACCCACATCTAGAACTGCAAGGACATTTTTGCTCCCCATGATGCACTAGCCAGATCTTTAAATAGTTGATTTTCCAATGTGTGAGTTAGGAAATAATGTATCAGGATAGAGATCAAAAACCCAAATATGAGCAGAGCCCAGAAGATGATGGAGACAATGGAGAGGGTGGTTTTAAGACATTGGAAAGTGGTGAGAACTCACTGGACACCTGACCACATGTCCTTCCCAAGGAGCCTACTACATCTCACGGCCTGCAGAAGTGGGCAAGATCTTTGGATTTTTAAAGGAAAATCTCCCAAACTTGAAGTGTACAACACAGTTCAATTTTTAAAACCTTGAGCCAGCCAAAGAAAATGACTTTGGGATTAGATGTGGCATCTGGGATGCTGGTTTGCCATCTCTACCCCTTAGTTGTCCTCCCTTCTGGAAAGCAAAGTGCTAGTTAGAGCTGTAAGAGAGGGGCTCCAATTCCCCCTCAAGACAACAGTGGGCAGCAGTGACCTTACTGTCTTTATCTATACAATGAAGGGGTGACTAAAGCTCAAATGGCTTTCAGTTGTAAAATCTAGGATTCCAAGTGGCATGTTAACAACATCATCCTTAACTCCCAGCTCCTCTGTGGCTTAGAGCAAATCATAAAAAACACTACAGAATCACACAGTTTTTCTTTAGGAGAAAAAAAAAAAAAGAAAGAAACCGCTAAATAAAAGTTGTGTTTAATAAGCAATCCTTTATTCATACTCAAACCAGAGGAAAAAATCTTTATTTCTTCTCCCAGGTTTTGGGAACTCTACTACTCTTATATAATGACTACGGTTTATTCCAAGAATTGTTTTTGGATAAATAATCCAAGTTTGTGCAATATTTCTTGGCAAAAACAATCCCAGGTTCTGGGTACTGCACTAGTTTATAAATTAGGAGGATGATTGAATTTTATGACTCAGAGTCACCATTGAGGGCTGGGGTTATGGCTCAGTGGTAGAGCGCTTGCCTCGCATGTGTGAGGCACTGGGTTCAATTCTCAGCACCACATAAAAATAAATGAATAAAAAAAAGGCCCATCAACAACTAAAATAATATTTTTTAAAAAGCCACCATTGAAAAATAAATCACCACTATATACATGAAAAAATGTTCAACATCACTAGCAATTAGAGAAATGCAAATCAAAACCACTCTAAGATTTCATCTCACTCCACTCAGAATGGCAGCTATTATGAAGACAAATAACAATAAGTATTGTTGAGGATGTGGGGAAAAAGGTACACTAGTACACTGTTGGTGGGACTGCAAATTGGTGTAGTCAATATGGAAAGCAGTATGGAGATTTCTTGGAAAATTGGTAATGGAACCACCATTTGACCCAGCTATCTCTCTCCTTGGTCTATACCCAAAGGATTTAAAAACAGCATAATTCAGGGACACAGCCACATCAATGTTTATAGCAGCATGATTCACAATAACTAAACTGTGGAACTTAGATGCCCTTCAATAGATGAATGGATAAAAAAAAATGTGGCATGTATACACAATGGAATATTACTCAGCAGTAAAAGAGAATAAAATCATGGCATTTGCAGGTAAATGGATGGAGTTAGAGAAGATAATGCTAAGTGAAGTTAATCAATCCCAAAAAACCAAATGTTGAATGTTTTCTTTGATATAAGGAGGCTGATTCATAGTGGGGTAGGGAGGGGGGGAGCATAGGAGGAATAGACAACTCTAGATAGGGCAGAGGAGTTGGAGGGGATGTGAGGGGGCATGGGGTTATTAATGATGGTGGAATGTGATGATCATTATTATCCAAAGTACAGGTATGAAGACATGAATTGGTGTCAATATACTTTGTATACAACTGGAGATATGAAAATTGTGCTCTATATGTATAATAAGAATTACAGTGCATTCTGATGTCATATATAAATTTTAAAAAAGCAGTCAAGTAGTGTACAATGACTACATATACAAGTGAGGAAGAAAACATTAAAAATAAAATAATAAATTTTCTGCAAACCAGGATACTGGGAAGTTTTTGATTATAAATTTCTTTGGGAGAGGGGATAGGAAAATACTACCACTTATGGAGTGAGCAGATAGCAGGGTTTCAAATATCATTATAATCAAAGACCCCAAAGCTACGACGGTAGCCCTAACCTCTAACTCCCTAATCTTTATTTTTAGCTTTTTGAAAGACATCTCTTGGAATTACTTACATTCTTATGTTTCACAGCTATTCATGCATTTAGTCCTGCAGAGCCCTTCTTAATTTTTCAGAAAATGTAAAGTTTGAAATGTTACCAAGTGAGACTCTTTGGGTGGCTCTTTTAAGACTCTGTACTTTCAAACAACCAACTTACCCTTTTCCATTTCCTCATGACCAGAAAATGGTAATGACCCCTGGTTGTGACAGCTAACCCAAAGCTCTTCTCATACAATAGGCAAAGGCAGCCGAGACCATCCTTAACTCCCAGCTCCTCTGTGGTTTAGAACAAGTCATAAAAACTTTTCCCATATATTGCTCAATCTGCTTAAGGATCCAGGGATGACATTGAGATATTCTGTCTAAAAACCTAAACTTAACAGCCTGGCTTTCAAAATAGTCCCCCAACTTAAATGTGTGAAACTCCCTGCTTAATTTTTCCTCCATGCTTTCCCATGTGTTCCTTTGTGATTGACATCTCCTAACATCATAGCTCAAAGAGCTAGGGTCTGGTAGTCTCATACAGGGTAACAGGCTTAGCACTGTAAGGGGTACACAGTATGCACGAAGTATCAGTTTTTCTTTCTCATAAAACAATATGAATCCCTCAAAAGACAATATCTTCAAGAATGACTTCTTAGGAGGAAAGAAAATAGTCTCTAACAAGCTGCAGGAAGCTATGGTATGGCTGTCCCTGCCTGTGGCCAGTTAGGAGCTTATCATCATTATTGTTCCTGAATCAAAACACTACAATGCTTACCTCCCCATTAACATTCTGCAAACCATACTGCTCGCAGATGGAGACCAGCTTCTTCCGGTTCAGGTGACCATCCCGGGTGATCCCCAGATCATCACAAACCTCCTGCAGTTTCTCCTCTATCCAGTCTTGGGGAGGGGAAGACCCACTCTGTGAGGCACTCAAGTCATCTGGGTTCCAAAACCGTAGCTGGCCTGAAATCAGAGTGCACACAGTATTGTCTCTAAAGGAAGTGCAAAGAAAGAGTGAATGCCTATTCTCAAAAAAAAAAAAAAAGTACTTTTGAAAATAAATATTATATTAAAAAAGTTGAATATTATAAGAAATGTTGACCCCCTTCTTATTTGGTCCTGATGTTCCAACTTTTTTTTTTTTTTTTTTTTTTAGAAACAATAGATAATTTTTTGCTCCATGGCAGTCAAACTGAGTAAAGAACATCCTTCCTGTGCAGTACCACTGATACTGGTTTATCCCAACTAATAACATCAGAAGCTTAGGTGGTCATCTGATCACATGAGAAGGCTGGTCAAGAGCCACCCTAACGTGTTCCAGGCCCTGAACAACTACAGGTTCCAGTTTTATTTCTATTATCTAAATACTAGAGCATCTTTTACTAAGAAAAAAAAATTCATGATGATCATCTCAAGATTTGCCTCTTTCCAAAGTCTGCACATAAGAATATTCTGACCTATAGAAAACAAACAATCCAACTTCAAAGAATATGAAGGGTAATTTCTATTTGAAGACAGAGATCAAACTACTTATTTAAATATCAAGAATATTTATCCTCTATTAAAAATCTCTACTTCTAAATTGTCCACTTACATATTAGAGAGTCTTTAAAGTTGTCACTTAAATATGAGATAATTACTAGCACAATTTTGTGTGCCGGAAGAACGGAGATCTAGAGAGAACGTGTTGTAAATACATTTAAGCACAGTTAATCCCAGATAGGTAGTGAAGTGGCTTGAGAGCTTGTCAGCTGGACCTCAGTGCCACCTGGTGGTCAGAGGATCAATTGTGTTCCAATGCTTTTTATATACATTTGAAATTGCAAGGGATGCATATTAAAATGCTATTTAGGTTAGGTTAATATTTAGGTTACGGCTGTTCAATTAATTAAAAGGTTTGTATCAAGAGAAATTAGTCACATTGTAGTTGCCATCTTTTTCATGATGTTAAAAGCCAGGAGTTTAAAACTATGAGCTATCAACTACAATTGAATTTTCTGTGGCTTCTGTTCCTAATGTTTATTCTCAACTAGCCTCCAGCATAAAATGCGGGAGGTAGGGTATGGGAAGTGCTCTATGAATGGCAGCCCAGCCCTCCCCTCCCCAGCAGGTCCCCACATGCTCAGCTCTTACCTTCTGCTTCATACTCCTCACCGCGTTGCGTCTTCCAGTGCTACGGAGGACAAGAGATGATTAGTGTGCTTTTGAAATTATTCAAAAAGAAATCCTAGCTTTTCCTAAACCAGATTACATTCTGGCTCTGAAATCATCATCTGGGTGGGCCACATGATTTTAGGGCCTGCCAATGCTTCTATCCAAGAGGGTTCTCTTCAGTTAACCAGATGATTCCTATGACACTGAATATGGTCTTCTGCAGACTGTTATAAGGATTTGTCCTTCTCATCTGGGAGGTCACTTATTCAACAGCAAAACCTATCAAACCCATTAAATTAAGCTGAAGTAAATATTCGGAATCCATTAAGAAAACAAGATTTTGTATGCACGCATTTATGAACTTCTTGTTCAATAAATGTGTATTGAATGCTTATTTTTATGCTAGGTCCTAGTAATGCAGTCATAAAGAGAGCCAACACATTTTCTGCCTCACAAAGTGCATATGCTAATGAGGACAAGCTGACAAGAAAACAGGAAGTACACAGGAGGATGTTTTAAGTGCTGTGATAGGGAATTTCAGGATGCTGTGATGATGCCTACATGAGACACTTCAGACTCACTAGACAGGGTAGATTTCCTAGAAGAAGCAAGGTCTAAGCTGAGACCCCCCAAGGATGAACTAGAGAGAGTGAAAAAAAAAAAGGGGCAGTCATTGTTTGCTTCTGAAGCAAGCGGGTACGAATAAGCTTTGTGTGCCTGTGGCACAGTGAGCAGAGAAATGCAAACCAAAAAATGGGAGGCTAGAAAGCTTGAGCTAAATAAAATATATATTATCAGTAAATTTCAGTAAAAGTAGTAAACCTTATCTGAATTAGACCATTTAGCCATCTTATCATGCTATGTTTCTACTTTTTAGTGAGTCTTCCCCAGGGTCACAGCATGTAGTTTATGTACTGGCAAAACCACCCAGCCAAGGGCACAAGTCAGGACCAAAATCCACCATTGCCCACTTTACAGATCTTCTTCCAACCAGCTGCAAACATAGGTCTTCAGTGGCTTTGGCCTTTCCAGCCAGCTGCCCAGTGCTCCCACTTCTACTGAGAGGTTTTGTGACCACTGGCAAAAATATAACTCTGTCAAGGTAGGTGACTTTGATAACAAAAAACCAGCCCATTCTCTGGGGAGGCCAAACTATCTAAGATGAATTAATTTCTTTGAATCCTGAAATAAACTGAGCAGCAAAAACAGGCCTTGTTGCCACCTGTCTCCAGACCTGGATTCCTCATGGCAGATGGAGTGCCACCTGAAAAATCCTTGGATTAAACACTGTCTTTCAGCAGTTTGTTCAAATTGGCCTGAGCTGAGGTTCTTCTTTTGGGCCACCTAAGCACACCTACTTCATTCTCCACACTCCCTGTAGTTTTCTTAAATGAGGGTCAAGTAGCTACCATGATTTCATAGCTCCTTATTTCACTTACAAAAACACTGGAAATAGCACAGATTCAGGAGCTGGCCTAAATGTAAACCTCAAATTGACAATGCTCAGACAGAGTATTCTTGTCACACAGAAGGCACCAAAAGGCCATAACTCCAAATGAATATGTTCACCATGGCTCATTCAGGTTACAATTGAAAGTCACTAGCATACAAAGGGGATGATGATGAATCAGTAGGCACAGTGTGACCTTGATTTTTTTCACAACTACAGTTTTATCAGCTCACGGTGATAAAGGCAGGTGGTGTGCAAGGCAGGGTGGGAACAAGGGGTGAGTGGCAGAGTCAACAGTCCTCCGTGGATTTCTTTACTTATTGCTAGTCAGAATTCAACTGTATTTTATATATGAAATTTAAATCAATAAAGCCCCACTAGTAAAAGTATCTTGCCTGCTGTCCCTCCATATTTATTTCCTTATTCAACAGAGCAAATTATTTAAATACTCACTCTGCTGTGGTATCCACAATTATGAAAATTCATTATTCAACATTTAAACACTCTAGAACTAAATCCATTAAACCAACCTACAACAAATCAAATACGGTTTATGATCTAAGAAGTGTAGGTCAAAATAAAACCTCTCAAACCACAAATGAGATGATTTTTAATAGCAGACACTGATGGGAGAAATGCTAGGAGATATGTTATCTCTGAACCCAAACCAGAAAGAGAGCTCCAGCTGGGATTCCTACTTAGAAACATGCAAACCTGCAAGGAATCCTTGGTAACACCTTCTAAAGCAATGAATTATGTGTTGTTACACAAAAGTTGATTTACTAACTTTGTTCATTCACATCTTAATTCATTTTAAAATTGAGTTAAAAGAACTAAGGTGCATAGAATTTCTAATATACTGTTTTCCAACATATCACCATCTATGGGACTGTGTGCATATTTCAGGTTGACAGGGACAGTGCATGCTTGCTGGTTTTTTTCTTCAATTCTCACTCCCAACTAATAAGAGATTAAGTGTGGAGATCATAGCATAGATCTAGGAGTCAGACTGCCTGGCATCAAATCCTGACTTACCTATCAGGTTGACCTTAGGCAAGTTTCTTGACCTATCTACAAAATGGGAATAAAGTAGTATAGTACAGATTTCACAGAGGTAAGGGTAAAGGGATTAGAATTGTGCCTGTGCAATGTAAAATTTTTATTTTATTGGCCAGGTGTGCGCATAATAGACATGAAATTTATATTTGTAGAAATATTTTTCATTACTATGTTTAAACTTAAAGTAGGGCCTGGGGTTGTGGTTCAGTGGTAGAATGCTTGCTTAGCATGTGTGAGGCACTGGGTTTGATCCTCAGCACCACATAAAAATAAATAAAATAAAGGTCTATTGACAACTAAAACATATTAGAAAAAAAACAAAAACTTAAAGTAGTCTTTTGGGTAGGCCTGAGGACGTATTCCCCTATTCATATAAATTTATAAGAAAAAAGTCAAGCCTCCAGCAGAGGTGCGAAGAATATTGACCATTCACATAAGAGGCAACAAAATTAAATAAATTTGGGGAAAGGTTTATCTCAGTACCAATCAAAGTAGTATAAATTTAAACCAAGAAATCATAATAGTTTGTACTAAATTAGCAAAATATAAGTTTAAGATACAACTCCTATTACAACTATTATAGTTTAAAATAGTCCTGTTTAAGATGAATGCATAAAGAAACTATGGTACATATACACAATAAAATATTACTCAGCTCTTAAGAAGAATGAAATTATGGCATTTGCAGGGAAATGGCTGGAACTGGAGAATGTTATGCTAAACAAAATAAGACAACCCCAAGGAACCAAAGGCTAAATTTTTGTGATATGCAGATGCTAATTCATAACAAGGTGGGAGCAAGAATAGAAGTAATTTGGATTGGACAGAGGGGAGTGAAGGAAGGGGAAGGAACATGAGGGTAGGAATGACAGTAGAATGAATCAAACATTATTACCCTATGTGCATATATTATTACATGACCTGTGTAACTCTATATCATGTGCAGCCAGAGGAATGAGAAGTTATACTCCATTTATATATAATATGTCAAAATATATTCTACTGTCATGTAAAACTAATTAGAACCAATAAAAAATATATTAAAAAAAATGTAAACAATAGATTTGTTTGTATATTACTTGTAACAATGTAAATGGGTATTATTCCTTTATTAATGAAAATGGCATTATGTGTCAAAAGCAATAAAAATATTCATACTCTTTGACGCAATAAATTTACTTACTATCCAAAGGAAATATAATCAGAGATAGAAAGCAAAAAGCCATAGGCATAAATATGTGTATCGTAGCACTTTTTGTAACAATATAATATTGAAAACAGCCTAAATATTCAACAATAGGGGCATAAAATATAATGATACATCATAATGTAGTCATTAAAAGAATAATTAAGAAACTGTAGGAACATGAAAAAAAATCCTAACAAATGAAAGAGCATAACAAAAATGCCATCTACCCTATGGTTACTGCTGGCAAAACTATTTACACAAACAGACAAAGACTGGAAGGAAATAGAGATAATAAAAATGGATACATTTTGGGCCGCACGTTGGCACACACCTATAATTTCAGGAGCTTGGAGGAGGATCTTGAGTTCAATGCCAGCCTCCACAAAAGTGAGGTGGAAGCTATTCAGTGAGACCCTGTCTCTAAATAAAATACAAAATAGGGCTGGGGATGTGACTCAGTGGCCTAATGCCCCTGAGTTCAATCCTTTGTATACAGCACCCCAAAGAAAAAATAGATACATTTTGGTTGAGGAACCATGGGAGACAATTTTCTACTCTTCTACTGTTATAAATGCTGTTGATGCAATATAAATAGGCACAACTTTCATTCTTTCTTTTGCCCAATTGCCCTCAAGTTCTCACTAAATAAATTAACTCTTGTGACTTGGGGATGGGGATGGAGGAAGGAAGTTCCCTCCCTTTGGTAAGTCCCATTCTGCAACACCTGCAATGCCATCCTGTCTTGTGACAGATGGAGAAGTATTGGTGAGAGCCTGAATGCAAAGGCTACTAATGCCAGTGCCCCCTAAGCTTAGTGGCAGTTGGAAAGATCTGAGACACTCGCCTGAGACTTGTCTGGGGGTACTGAGACTATCCCCTTTGAAATAGCCCAATCCAAAGTATGGTACAGGTTTTGAACCCCAGGCAGCACCTTCACTTAAAAAGTCTCGCATAAACTCTTGAGGCAATTGGGAGTGGTGAGGTAAGGGGTGATTTAAATATATTCTGAAGTCTAGGGGAAACAGTTTCCCAAGCACTTCTCCCACAGCCCTTTGTAAGAAACAGAAACCATCCTGTTAGGAGAAGCAAGCTTATGCTAATGGCCACATTTTCATTCCAAGACCACCTCAGCTGGAGACGAAATTTATTACTCAGATATGATATATGCTATGCTTCTCCCCAGTCTCCACTGAAGGTCTTCTCCTTTAACAAGAGGGAGGTAAGCACATGGCGGCTGGAAGTTTGTTATTAAATTGTAATTTCAGGAGGTGGGGTGTGTATAGGGGGGAGATCCAATTCATTCACAGCTCATTTATTTTCA